TCTGAGGAACACAGAGGGGCGCCGCCTTAGAACGGTCAGCAGCGTAAGTAAAACCGGTTAATGGTGCACCAAACTTCACTCTTAGCCCCACCATGTTCCTTTAAACGAGACATTGTAAATAAAATGAATTCCTATCAAGCGAAATTCTAACAGTTGTTACAAAAGGTGAAATAAGTAAAACACAGACATGATCATAATTATAGATACATTTAAAAGTAGCCCAATAACCAAAACAAAGGTACTCAATGTCTTAAAGGAAGAGACAGAACAACAAGAAAATCATCTACAAGGGCCCGACGAAGCAAGCCAGAAGACAAACATTAAGACAATTCAGTCTCAAAGGGATTTAAAAACTGACCATCATAAGTCTCCCACTTGGTCCGTCAGATGTAATCAAAAGAGGAAAGCTTATTGTCCAACTTTAAAAGGGTTGAACACTTAGCATGCAGTATGTCTTAAAAAAAGTAGGGTCATAACCTTTTTTAATAAAACGTTTAATGATTTTAGTCAAAACAACAGACAAATTACCAGAAGATTGTAAATCACATCGCCATAAAAATCAGGCCGGCTAATCCCTTGTCGCAAAAGAGTTTTTGAATCACTTTTGATTGTAAAATTTTGTAAAATATTTCCGTAATTTATGATAGCGGTAGTCCTGCATTAGAAACTTACTAGTAATGAAAATATTCCGCGCGCTAAAATCCTTTACGTTGCTACAAGCTCTAGCGAATCTGATTAACTGAGAAACATATACCCCGTAAGATGTTGCATGGGTAACTATACAAAAATCATCTCTTTTATCATAGATTTTCGTGTGAATAGAATTTCTGTTGACAGCAATTTTATATGAAGATCCAAAAATGATGTTCTAAAATTTCAAGAGTTCGTTTGATTAAGTTGTAGTTCATGGGGATAAATATCAGACGCCATTTGAACAAAATAAGAATTATCTAAATTAAAAAATATCATCAAGGTATCTGGAAGTATTATTAAATGCTAATATAACATCTTGTTGTGTATCTTCATGGAGACTCAACATAAAGTCTCCTTCATAGCAGTACAAATCGGCGACCAGAGTTGCACAATTAGTACCCATAGGAATTCCTATGATCTGTTTACCAAACCTGACATAAATGTTGTCTAAAAGAAAAAAGGGTGCTCTACAAACTTCGACACAGGTCCACATAGTAGTTCATTTTACCGGTCAGTGGACTCATTGATTGCTGCTGTGCTGCTTTATATTGCAATCTTCAATTGTTGTGCTACATTGTCATCACTGACAATTGAACTGAAATTGTTTCTTTATGAGCGAGTTTTTGCGTCTTTCTGTATGTTTCACAGTGTTTTTTTTCTATTAAGTTGACGCTTTTGTTCCAGTTTGTATAACCGAACTTTAAGCCATTCTTCTCCTAGCATAGCCGTCTTTCTGTCTCGATATTCTTTCATTCGCTGTGCCCTACCCTTTGCCATTCTGAAATGCAAAAAAATATACTGACTTTATTATCATGGAGAAATACATGTTTTTTATTGTATCTTTAGCAAAGCAATCACATTTTAATACCTACTATATGTTCCTTGTACCAAAAGATGTCTCAAGATTAGAAAAATAAATTATGTTCATATTTTAAAATTACATGTATAATTTTGGAAAAACAAGTACGGGACTTACCATAACCACATATGGGACAATGTTTCAATGAAAATCAATACATGTAGTATTAAGAACACAGATAACTTACGATGGCAAATGTTTATTATCATAAAAGCCTAATTATATTTTTATATCAAAGATGAAATATATTATGATTAAGTTGAAATATTTTGAAACATTTAATAAATCTTTACAGACAAGTTTTTTAACATATTTAAAGCGTTTTGATGATCAAGTATTAAAAAAACCCCGAAAGTATACAATTGCTTTAAATCGGGATGCAATTTTCTAATCCAGAAAATTAAAGTAAAGCCCAGGTGAAAGAGACTTAACTTAAATATTTCTATTAGTCTTGATATCATATATTAATATCAAATTTGATGATGAAATTAAATTTCTTGGATTATGTGGAACTTTAATGCATATAGCAAAAATCTGTATATTGGTAATAATTAATGCAGCTGAACAACTCATAGTTCTGAAAATATAGTAAAAATATGTATATGGTACATGGTACAAATCTAAATTATTGCCGATTTACTCCTGGCACATAACCGGGATTCCAACACAAAAATGTACAACTTCCAAAAAATGGCATTTTGTAAATATGTGATGATACTTTCGTGTTATGTTTACATGTTGTAATAAATTAGGGTTGTTGTTGTATGGCAACTGTTCATTGTCATTTATGTTGTTATAAATGTATACTTAAAATTGCCTTGAATTAAATATTTCACCAAAAAGTACTAATCGTACAGGAAATTAACATAGAAAATTTTAATTATTTGTTATTGAAATACTTTTTCTAGACATAGCAAGTGTTTAGGGGTAAAATGTCTTACTATTTCACTCTTTTTGACTGTTTTTGGTGGATTAAGTGTCTTGAGCGGTGTAGTGTCTTCAGAATTTGAGGAGTGTTCCTAGTGTCTGGGGATAAAGTGTCTTGTTCTCATTATGTTACAACCAGTTTGTGAATAGGGGCCGGTATATTTTGCAGAAATAATAAACACCCCATATATAATGTATTTTGTCTGCAAAATCTTAAAACTGTCTTTGGTTAACTGCAAAATTCTTCTTGCAAAATAGAAGTAATAATTAATGAGCAACACCCTATAGTGTACAAGCTATTTCTGGAAAAAATACAGATAATTTTGTTTATATTGTTCATAAGTTTGGCATTTTGTGTTGTAAATAAAATACTGGACAACTTGAAATAAAACTGCAGTATAGATCAATGAAGTTAATATGTCAACATTACATGTTAGTAGATAAAGACAACTAGCTATTGAAGGTTTTAAATGTTGACAAAATATTTTACCAGAACATGTACCGGAACTTATTTCAGTAAATTTATCTTATTACACTTTTATAAATACCAATACACTATAAGTTCCAATGGTAAACACAGATAAAGCTTCCGTCACGAAGCCACCCAGGTCTGGAAAAGCACACCCTCCCCCGAATTAGCTAAGAACAGAAACTGATTGTGGCCAATTCAGGAGACTTATTCTGACCTTGAGTGGTTTTCAAATGCAAATGGTCTATGTGTGCCTGTTTTTGTATTGTTCTGTGTGCCTTGTCTTTAAATAGTTACTGCTTGTATGCATGTATTAAGTTTATGCTTAATGTAGCTACTTATTTTGGCTTTGTCTGCCATAAAGAAACGCTGTATATGGCCTTTATTTTTTGTTTTATATTATTTTTATGTGCTTCTTATGTGCTTATTATGTGCTTACAGCTGGTATGTATATAAACAGGAGGAACTAGGTTCCAACCCCTTTAGTGGGCATTTGGAGCGGAGCAGGTATGCATGTACAACCATTCCTCAAATGTTATGACGGTATCAGGGACACTCCAAATCATTATCTTTCATTATCGTCTTGGATGTGGTTGGGCGTAGCTAGGGATTGACCCCGGTGGCATCCGTTGTTGATGGCGGGGGTGAGATTTGAGACTGTACATAGCTCCTGCTGTGATATCTAGCCTTCTGCAATGTCATTTAAGTGTGTGGTAGTTGCTGATAAGTTTTCCAATATTTTGTTATGGGGAAAACAGCTTTTAAACCATTTTATTGCCCAAATTTTAATTACATATTAATTTATCTATTTTTATCTTATTTATTTATTTAATTTCTCACGATCTTATCTCACTTTTAGGCAAGCTCAAGATGAGGGACTGCCACACAAACATTTCAAATTTTATTTCTGATGTGATGTAAATGTGCACGTTATTTCATATTCATATTTTCATGGTTGAGTATGTGACTTATATATGCTCAAGCAGCATGTTGGTCCTTGGGCTACTTAGTACTGATATGACTGATTCCTCACTTTCCTTTTGTTTTGATTCTGTTTATTAGGATAAGTGTACATAATGATAAATTCTTTATTTACAGAAGGTAGCTTATTAAGACAATACATCAAAGCATTAGAGATGATGTGTTCACATATAATGAAAAATCTAATTTTCAACGAGGCCTTCAATAAACATAACAATGGACATATTACAAGCAATAATAAAGATTACAACATCCAATACATCTTAACCAACTAAAAAGAAAGACATAGATGATAGTATTATATTATAGTATAGGCATACATGTATATTGTCTATAATTCGTCTTTAGATAATAATAAATGTGTAAATTTGATTTAAACAATTTATTAGACTTGATATGGATTTCTTATTTCTAAAGGAATAGTGTTCAATAACTCCATACTAGAATAATAATTAAGTGTTTTTCAAATATTTTGTTTTAGGTCGTGTTTGCATAATGTCTTTTCTCTTTGTTGATCTTAGTAAGTAATTATGTTTTATTCTGATATAACGGTATTATAGGTCAATCTATCCATCGCTTTATATATACCATAATTGCAGAAAAGTATATACATGTACATTTAGAGGGAAAAAATATTTATTTTAGACTTCAACACATTTCAAGAGAATTGGTTTTTGCGGGTTTATTTAAAATAATTCTGGCGGTTCATTTTTGGAAGTTCGTTATTCTATTTAGGTCAGATTTGTTACATTTGGAGCAAATAATACATCCATAATCCGTACGTAAGCGTTATAAAATGAAATTCTAGTATGTTGTATAATACTGTGATAATTACTGGCAGTGTGATATTTGCTTGTAATCTATTATTATTTTACCTAGAATGATAGTGTTGTGCTACAATGTAATGTATTCATCATAGACGAACATTGATCCTCTTAATCTATTTTTTATAATTTTATAAAGGTTGTGTGTTTGCATGTTAAAAGATAGTCTGTTATATTGGAAAATAGCTTATATAGCTAGTGTTATTACGTTTTTATTGTAACCTACTTATAAATATGATTATCATAATTATCTTATCTTATCTTAAAGTCCACAGATCTATCTGCAAAGTATACCATCACGCTAAATTTTCAGCATTTTAGTCAGTACCCAAAAAATTATTTAATGCGCATGTCCGTATTTACATTTATGAAATATTCTTCCGCAAATCATGTATGGATAGAAATATTCTTTTATTCATTTTAAGTTGAAATAATATTACAAAAATCTTCACTTTTATTGAATATTTTGTTAAATTTACGCTATTTTATGTGTGGTTATTTTTCAACTTATTTTAAAATGGACTACATTTTTTAGTAAATATTAAAGTGTGTGTTATTCGGTCCATGGATGGAGAAAAAATAAAATACGCCGAAACATGATTATAGGTCACATTTATCGCTATTAGCAGTCAATATCATCTTAACAATCATGTCAAATTGTGAGTGTTCAACGCGAATTATTCCTGCAGTATGTGCGTGGTCCATTTTGTTGGGAACAAGTGGGACATTTATAGCATTTGTGTAAGCATCAACTTTTTTTTATTTTCATTTTACAGGTGGGTGGGGAGAAATTATAAGAGATACAATTATTCGTGTGATTATAATTAGTACATGTATTCATAAGAAGGTAATTAGTTATGATCAATCAGTGCTTCAGAATTCTGATCAACATGCACCAGTTGTCATACTTGAATTTCTGTAAAAAATTACCCAGTCCAAATAATTAGATATGGATGAAGTCAAAAGAAAGTTATTTATGACATTTTATATTTATCATTGTGATATTTTTCTTAAAATTAATATGAAAAAGGCAAAGCCTCAAAGCGATTTTCTTTTACCGTGAAATAGTATAAAATGAGCATTTATTTTTATTTTACTTTTTCCGTTTTAAAAAATTGTCATTCGGTATTTTATGCACTGCTTCCGTTTATTCTGGTTCCCTGTCCTATTATAGTTCCCATACATAAGTGCGCAGGACACCAGACGTCACTTCCATTTTCAATCAGAATACCTCGGCTTTTATCGTTATCTTGTTATTCGAAAAGTTGCGATGTGTCAATACATTACTTCGGACAAAAGTTTTCAAAACCATCACTATCTAGCAGGTACTCACTTTACCGTAAAGCTCACTTTGCTAGCAGGCTTGTCGAGCTTGCTCTTATCAAGGTTTTTTGATTTTTTACATCAAAACAGAAAATATCAATAACACCTAAAATCAGTTTTAACAGTCATCGAAACGAATCAGGTTCAGCTCGTCCCTAAAACTTATTAGGCCCACGAGTCTGTTCGGCCCTAAAACGTACTTGGTCCCCTAGTCAGCTCAGCCCATAATTATATATTACTGGTAATGATTACTTTTATATGTTTTCATCACAACTTTCATTGTTTAACATTTTCACAGTAACAGACTCAATGATATTGAAAAGATTTATTGATATAAGTACCAATTTGTATGTGAATTTGTAGAGAAAGGAAGAATTAACATTTCATATGCATGTTTTGCCTACTTCAGATAGTTTTTTTGGTAAAAAATATCGTTCGAACAGCATTGGTCGTATTAAAGAACAAACAGTGTTAAATACAAAATTTTACATTTATTGTCATGAAAATTCAATCTAAAAACTATTAATGGATCAATATTTAACATATATTGTCTTGATATCTCCTCTTTACAAAGATAATTTCAAACAATACGTACATATGTATTCACAGCCAACTTTTTCAATTGCTGTTTGTTACTTAGTGATCGAACTCTGAATACTTTTATAGTAATTTACTCCTTAAAATTTATATAATTTATAAACTAAACAATCTATATCCTAATAGGTTTTTAATAGAGTGCCGAGTTCACCTGTGCCGAGTTGACCCGTGCCGAGTTGGTATAGGGCCAAGTTGACCCTTTACCCATCGAAATAACCCTCTTGCCTGGAACCTGGGACAAGTTTAATTATCCATGGGCAAGTTAAAATTGTAACCAGTCGCACAGGGATAAGACGATTTGATTTGATATTATCCCCTACCCCTACGCCCTCACCATTTCCTCCGGTCCCTGTTACAACCCCCAAAAATATGATTTAAAGTCAATTTCCACATAAGTATTCATAACACTATTACACAATTTCTGTTATACCTCTATACACTGTATATTATTAGTTATGCAAGGTTAGCAACTCCCTCGTCCTTCCAGTTTAGTTTTTATAGATGCAATGGTATTTCTTACACAACATTGTCTCCTTTTACTAAGTTTTAGCAATTCAGTCATAGAAATTTCTATGGTTACAAACGTGAATCAGATCTTGTCATATTTCATGTAACTGGCTGTTTCGGTGTTCATATATAATAAAACAAAATACTTTACACTGCTTAATATGGAAGATTTCATTGCATACGTATATCAATACTCTATTGATAGAGACCAAGTTTTTAAAAATATATTGAATGAGCTTAGTTATGACAGTGAATGTAAACTTGGGTAGAATCAAAGCTCTGGAAGGGCATAGGAGTTGCTACCTTTGTATAACTAATACTATAGAGGTATAATTAATGAAAATCGTGTAATAGTGTGACTGTCATATTATTGTAGTGGATCAGCATCAATTAGCCTGACTTTGGATAATAAGTGTGAATTCTTTCATAATTTTATAATCAGGATTGAAATTTAACTTTGGAAAAAAGAAGGTATAAACTAAGCACGATAAACAGAAGTTTCTTCATATTTATTTATAGTACTGAACAGTGAACAGTCCATCTTAATACCATAAAGGTAAATTAAATAATGTCCTATTGATTGAGCATTTGACTGATTATTGTAAAAGTAAGTAATAAATGTCACAATAGATAGAGGTAGAGGGCTAAGTTCAGAAGGAACCTACTGAATGGCAATTCCAAGGGTAACAGGCTTTGAAACAAATTTTTTTTCTTTCTTAATTTCCCTTCTTTTTGTACGAAACATCATGTGTTTTTGATTTGATTAATTTATTTGTTACTTTTTAATCAAGGTATTTTGATCTCATTTATTCCTCATTCTTGCCTATCAGACTGGCTTTTCAATTTCTGTTAGTTTTACCCATGCCGGAAATTTTATTTGGTATCAGGGGTGCCAGATGAGTTGCGTGCTGTACATTAATAACAATAGCACACTTTGGATAATTTTAATCTTATGAATGAAGTTGTAATTTCATATGCTGAACTTGTAAAAAAATAAATAGTTACAGGTGTAATGACATAAGATTTTAATGGAAAATTGTTATATTATATATTATTAATAATTATTAAGGTTAAGAGTTTTAAATATAATGAAATATGGTACAATATGCAAGAAAAAATATCTGACATATGTTTGCAGTTTGAATCATAAACCTAGCCTTATCTGTCTCTGGGGAGCCCCAATGGACGTGTCCCCTGCAGGACAGATATTTGGTTCAAACAGCAACATATGACAGATATTATCAAATCTTATATATTTTAACAAAATTTATGATAAACAAAAATAGTTCTGTTTATCGTGCTTGGACTATATTCGAATACTGCATAAATTTTGTATTTATAACAATTTGGAAAGAGATAAAAACAGGACTATCTATCTAATAAGGATAATGTCCGGTATTTCAATTTGAAAAAGGGTTGTTGAATAACGGGGTTCAGACAGTACGGTATATAAGTTTATTCATATTTCAGGTTCCCCTATCTGCTGACAATCACCATAGGATTGCCTATATATGTTGGTCTTCTCACATTATTTGTAATAGCCAACTTTGGGCTTGCTACTTTTATGGATCCAGGAATATATCCAAAAGGTAGGTCATTTACTGAATCTTGTGAAATCTGAGTTTTCAAAAATTTATATTTTAAATTGATAATGTGAAGAAAATTGATCAATCTCAAGTATTAACAATTTTTATGCCCCCGCCATGTAATGGCCGGGGCATATAGTGTTACCCTGTTCCGTCCTTCCGTCCTTCCGTCATTCCGTCCTTCCGTCATTCCGTCCTTCCGTCATTCCGTCCTTCCGTCATTCCGTCATTCTGTCATTCCGTCATCATCAGTTTCCGTTCATTATCTTAATAACGGTTGCACATATTCAACTCAAATTTGACATATGGATATGTCATGAGAAAATACAGGTCAAGTTCGAATTTGGTCATGGTTCGATGATTTTTGGCAGAGTTATGCCCCTTTTACTTTAAAAATAATATGAAATTTTCAGTTTCCGTTCATTATCTCCCCAACGGTACAACACATTCAACTCAAATTTGATATATGGATATGTCATGAGAAAATACAGGTCAAGTTCGAATTTGGTCATGGTTCAACGATTTTTGGCAGAGTTATGCCCTTTTTACTTTGAAAATAATATGAAATTTTCAGTTTCCGTTCATTATTCCCCCAACTGTACAACACATTCAACTCAAACTTGACATATGGATATGTCATGAGAAAATTCATGTCAAGTTCGAATTTGTTCATGGTTCGATGATTTTTGGCAGAGTTATGCCCCTTTTACTTTGAAAATAATATGAAATTTTCAGTTTCCGTTCATTATCTCCCCAACGGTACAACACATTCAACTCAAATTTGACATATGGATATGTCATGAGAAAATACAGGTCAAGTTTGAATTTGGTCATGGTTCGATGATTTTTGGCAGAGTTATGCCCCTTTTACTTTGAAAATAATATGAAATTTTCAGTTTCTGTTTATTATCTCCCCAACAGTACAACACATTCAACTCAAATTTGACATATGGATATTTTTTTAGGAATGCCCAGGTCAAGTTCGAATTTGGTCATGGTTCAATAATTTTTGGCAGAGTAATGCCCTTTTCACTTTGAAAAAAATATGAAATTTACAGTTTCTGTTCATTATCTACCCAACAGTATTACATATTCAACTCAAATTTGACATATGGATATGTCAAAGGAATGGGCAGGTCAAGTTGGAATTTGGTCATGGTTCGATGATTTTTTGGCAGAGTTATGTCCCTTTCACTTTGAAAATAATATAGATACATCTTAGGAATAGGCAGTTTAAGTTTGAATTTGGTCGTGGTTCAATGATTTTGGACAAACTTATCTTTCTTGAATATTGGAAAAATTTTGAACTTTCAGTTTCAGCACTCATACTTTTGTGGAAATGTATGTAGCCATTATTTTGGCTACAAATATGAAATATGCTATTTTCAAAAGGATAAGACTGAATAATTTCAGTGCCTTGAACATTGTATGAAAATGGTTTGTGTTAACATTGAAAAGTTTTAAGGGCTTTGAACTTAAAATGAAAACAATAATTTGTGCAAACAAATTTGGAACTAAATATAATAACATCTGAAATTTTGGCTGCATGCGGGGGCATCCGTGGCATGATGACACATTTCTAGTTACAAATATAGATGTATCTGTGTCCAGTGAGTCTCTACTTAAAGCTCAGACCCATGTTCTTTTACGGGGTAGCAAAGAACTTACCGCAAAGTAATACTTGATATTTCTGTATCATTTTGTTGATGTGTTAAAATGACTCCTCTGAGGTTTTTTTGACATGACAGGACTGAAAATATTTATCTGAGATTTGTGTAACAACTGATTTCTAGCAGGTCTGGACCAGTAACCAGAGTACAATTTTTTTTAGCTCATTCCCTCACCCTGTTTTTAGCTCACCTGTCACAAAGTGACAGGGTGAGCTTTTGTGATCGCTTTTCGTCCGGCGTCCGTCCGTCCGTCGTCCGTCCGTCGTCCGTCCGTCCGTCCGTAAACTTTTGCTTTAAATGACATCTCCTCATAAACCACTAGGCCAATTTCATCCAAACTTCACAGGAATGTTCCTTTGGTGGTCATCTTTAAAAATTGTTCAAAGAATTTAATTCCATGCAGAACTCTGGTTGCCATGGCAACCAAAAGAAAAAAACTTTAAATATCTTCTTTTAAAAAACCATAAGAGCTAAAGCTTAGATATTTGGCATGAAACATCTTCTAGTGAGTGTCTACCAAGTTTGTTCAAATAAAAGCCCTGGGGTCAAAATTGGCCCCGCCCCTGGGGGTCATTGATTTTCCCTATATGCATATGGTAAAAACTTAAAAAATCTTCTTTTAAAGAACCGTAAGAGCTAGAGCTTAGATATTTGGCATGAAACATCTTCTAGTGAATGTCTACCAAGTTTGTTCAAATAAAAGCCCTAGGGTCAAAATTGGCCCCGACCCAGGGGGTCATTGATTTTCCCTATATGCATATAATAAAAAACTTAAAAAATCTACTTTTAAAGAACCCAAAGAGCTAGAGCTAAGATATTAAGCATGAAACATCTTCTAGTGAGTGTCTACCAAGTTTGTTCAAATTAAAGCCCTTGGGTCAAAATTGGCCCCGCCCCGGGGGTCATTGATTTTCCCTAAATACATATAGTAAAAACTTAAAAAATCTTCTTTTAAAGAACCATATGAGCTAGAGCTTAGATATTTGGCATGAAACATCTTCTAGTGAATGTCTACCAAGTTTGTTCAAATAAAAGCCCTGGGGTCAAAATTGACCCCGCCCCAGGGGGTCATAGATTTTCCCTATATGCATATAGTAAAAACTTAAAAAAATTTCTTTTTAAGAACCCAAAGAGCTAGAGCTAAGATATTAAGCATGAAACATCTTCTAGTGAATGTCTACCAAGTTTGTTCAAATAAAAGCCCTGGGGTCAAAATTGGCCCCGCCCCGGGAGTCATTGATTTTCCCTATATGCATATGGTAAAAACTTAAAAAATCTTCTTTTAAAGAACCATAAGAGCTAGAGCTTAGATATTTGGCATGAAACATCTTCTAGTGAATGTCTACCAAGTTTGTTCAAATTAAAGCCCTGGCGTCAAAATTGACCCTGCCCCAGGGGGTCATTGATTTTCCCTATATGCATATGGTAAAAACTTAAAAAATCTTCTTTTAAAGAACCCAAAGAGCTAGAGCTAAGATATTTAGCATGAAACATTTTCTAATGAGTGTCTACCAAGTTTGTTCAAATAAAAGCCCTGGGGTCAAAATTGGCACCGCCCCAGGGGGTCATTGATTTTCCCTATATGCATATAGTAAAAACTTAAAAAATCTTCTTTTAAAGAACTCAAAGAGCTAGAGCTAAGATATTTAGCATGAAACATGTTCTAATGGGTGTCTACCAAGTATGTTCAAATAAAAGCCCTGGGGTCAAAACTGGCCCCGCCCGGGGGGGTGGTCATTGATTTTCCTTATATGTGTATAGCAAAAACTTAAAAATCTTCTTTGGAAAAACCCAAATAGCTAGAGTTTAGATATTAAGCATGAAACATCTTTAAGTAAATTTCTACAAAGTTTGTTAAAATAAACGCCCGGGGGTCAAAACTGGCCCTGCCCCAGGGGTGACATTGTTTTTAACTATATGTGTATAGTAAAAACTTTAAAAATCTTCTTTTAAAAAAGCCAATGAGCTAGAACTTAGATGTTTAGCATGAAATATCTTCTTATGGGTGTCTACCAAGTCTGTTCAAATAAACAAATAAAAGCCCTTGGGTAAAAATTGGCCCGGGGGTGGGGGGCCTATATACAGGTGAGCGACCTCAGGGCCATCATGGCCCTCTTGTTTCAGAATAATCATTTCATTGGATAAAATTATGTGGTTATATGGCCTATATAAATGGCTGTTTGGAAATATAACCTGAGCCGCTAGGCGAGGGTTATATTGCAAACAACTGTTTATATATGGTCATATAACCTGTCAGGAATATTTATAATGAATTTATAATGCAGTAAACATTCTTATTTAGAGAAAAAAATGAGATTTCTTAGGTAGTTGACAGCAGCCATGTATATAAAACTATATACATTTGTATAAACGTCAAGATTATCCAATGGAAAGTGACGATACAAACGTGCAGTATTATATAAACCTATATAAACCTCAGGATTATCCTATGAAAAGCGACGTTACAAGCTTGTAGTATTATAAAAATACAATTATAGTTACATTTGTTTAGTGAGTTAATATTCAGTTTAATTTTGTATGACAGCCCATGAGGATGAGGTTAAGGATGATGATTTTCGGGCACCTCTATATAAGAATGTGGAGATTAAAGGGATTACAGTGAGAATGAAATGGTGCACAACCTGCCAGTTTTATAGACCTCCTAGATGCTCACACTGTAGTGTTTGTAACACATGTATAGAGGTAACATTTATAATTAATTTATGTAGTTTTAATTAATTGTTATATGTGTTATTTTTGTTAACCAGGAAAACTTTGATTATAAGATTGGTGATAATTATCTACTACACAAACTTTTCTATCTCCAACGTTTCGAGGGTTTATTTCGAGGGGTTAAACCCCTCTTTTTGAAGGAGTTTCTGTTTATTTTTATAAATCACATATTTATCTTCTTACATGTCTTATCTTACACAATGTTATATATATACAGGAAATAATTATGTGATTTATAGAAATAAACAGAAACTCCTTGAAAAAGAGGGGTTTAACCCCTCGAAATTTTGGAGATAGAAAAGTTTGTGTAGTACATAAATATTAACTGTTTCCAGAATGAATTGAAGATTGGTTATGTTTGGGCTTGTGGGCAAAAAACAATTATTCCTTCGTTGAGAAATTCCTACTCCTAAAGGGCTTTCAGCCACTAGTTTCAGTGCCTTTTAATGCAATAGGTTGAGTCTTTGCTCATATTGAATGAATGATGTGAGGGGCTTTTGCTTCTTTCATATTTTCCAGCTAGCTTACCAAAGGTTGATAATGCTGTACTCATGCCCGCTTATGTCTGATAATCAGTTAATACATTTAAGTCTTTCTTATAGTTGTGATGATATATGTAAATCATAAATGCTTAGAACTAAGTAATTAGTACATAGATTGGTATAAATACAATTTTTACTCTACTCTGCCCCTGAGGACCTATAATTTACTGCAGTTTTACACAAATGCTTACATTTGCAGATTAGATTTGTTGCAGTTTTATACTTATGCTTAGTCTTACAGATTAGTTTTGATACAGTTTGAAACTGACATTTTATTACATTTTAAATATCAGTGTTTTTATGCCCCCGCCATGTAATGGCAGGGGCATATAGTGTTACCCTGTTCCGTCATTCCGTCCTTCCGTCCTTCCATCCTTCCGTCCTTCCGTCCTTTCCGTCCTTCCGTCCTTCCGTCATTCTGTCATTCCGTCATCATCAGTTTCCGTTCATTATCTTAAGAACGGTTGCACACATTCAACTCAAATTTAACATATGGATATATCATGAGAAAATACAGGTCAAGTTCGAATTTGGTCATGGTTCGATGATTTTTGGCAGAGTTATGCCCCTTTTACTTTGAAAATAATATGAAATATCAGTTTCCGTTCATTATCTCCCCAACGGTACAACACATTCAACTCAAACTTGACACATGGATATGTCATGAGAAAATACAGGTCAAGTTCGAATTTGGTCATGGTTCGATGATTTTTGGCAGAGTTATGCCCCTTTTACTTTGAAAATAATATGAAATATCAGTTTCCGTTCATTATCTCCCCAACGGTACAACACATTCAACTCAAACTTGACATATGGATATGTCATGAGAAAATACAGGTCAAGTTCGAATTTGGTCATGCTTCGATGATTTTTGGCAGAGTTATGCCCCTTTTACTTTGAATAATATGAAATTTTCAGTTTCCGTTCATTATCTCCCTAACGGTACAACACATTCAACTCAAACTTGACATATGGATATGTCATGAGAAAATACAGGTCAAGTTCGAATTTGGTCATGGTTTGATGATTTTTGGCAGAGTTATGCCCCTTTTACTTTGAAAATAATATGAAATTTTCAGTTTCTGTTCATTATCTCCCCAAAGGTACAACACATTCAACTCACATACGGATGCGTCAAAGGAATGCGCAGGTCAAGTTCAAATTTGGTCATGGTTCAATGATTTTTGGCAGAGTTATGCCCCTTTCACTTTGAAAGTAATAGGAAATTTTCAGTTTCCGTTTATTATCTCCCCAATGGTACAACACATTCAACTCAAATTTGACATATGGATATGTTTTTGGAATGCCCAGGCCAAGTTCGAATTTGGTCATGGTTCAATGATTTTTGGCAGAGTAATGCCCCTTTCACTTTGAAAATAATATGAAATTTACAGTTTCTGTTCATTATCTACCCAACAGTGTTACATATTCAACTTAAATTTGACATATAGATATGTCAAAGGAATGGCCAGGTCAAGTTGGAATTTGGTCATGGTTTGATGATTTTTTGGCAGAGTTATGTCCCTTTCACTTTGAAAATAATATAGATACATCTTAGGAATAAGCAGTTTAAGTTTGAATTTGGTTGTGGTTCAATGATTTTAGACAAACTTAACTTAAAATGAAAAAAAATTAATGCACCATCTGAAATTTTGGCTGCATGCGGGGGCATCCGTGGCATGATGACACATTTCTAGTTTTTCTTTATATAACTACTACCCTAATACGGTACTGTTCCCAATAGAAAATAGACATTAAAATTCCCAATTTCCAATGTTTAAATTCCCAAAATGGCTGTCCAAAATTCCACAAGCCCAACTGATTTCTCTGAAATCATTTAAATCCAACATATTCATATAAATCACCACTCAATAGTTCTACCTGGACAATGGAAGCTGTTAGCTATCTTTATTCATGATGACTCATCTTATTTGTAGCTGAAAAAATGCATTAAAAAAATCCCAATGTAAGTCAAAATAATGCAATTTTTCCCAATCAGTCTGGTACCGGCAATATTCCCAAAGTAGAGAAAAAAACACTGTATATTAATAGAGAAGAAATCATTTGTTAGAAACCACAAACTATAATTGTTCTATTGTTAAAGTAAAAGTAAAAATATGTTACTATACAGATGTAAGGAAAAGTTTCAAATTGTCCTAGGTATGTTTGCCAGAAAATTTACTATAAAAGGATGGTCATTTGTCTGGTCAATAAAAGATGTGTATTTTTTATATAATTTAATGATCAGTGCAGTAGAGTATAGGAGAATGTGACTGTAAAATGTATGATAGTTTTATTGAAAAATGTTGTCTTGTCTGCAGCAAGGCAATTAAAACTATGTCTTATTATCTCAATAAAGATATGTTCCCTGTATTGTGCACAAAAGTATAAAGTTTGTTGTCCCCAGATTAATTAGGGAGAGATCTTTTCTATCTGCAGCCAAGTGAAGGAATTTCCTGGACATTTTGAATGAAGAGATTTTTAGACAAGAAAATTGATGTAGTGTCACATGGCTTTTCATTTTTTTCACCTCAAGAGCAATAATATATAGATTATACATAGATTTGTATGTAACATTAAAAAATTATCCCAGGGTAAAATTCTTTTACCCAAGGCTTTAGTTGTTATAATCTATGATGAAACAACAAATGTCTGTGGTGCTCATACTCATAGTCACTCTGGTCGTGACCTTTCAAAGTAAACCATGTAAAATTTCGAGCAGAATGGCAGCCATCTTTATTTTTGAAGAAAATAGACCATATGACCAGATTTTTACTGTAAAACATACTGTTACTTATGTAACAATACAAACTTGTTAGTCTAGTTGTACACGTGCATTTATAATAAGAATAACTCCCAATTTGACCTATGGAAAATATACATAACAAAAAAAAGTGGGGTATAAATAAAAGATATGAAGTTAGGGAATTTTCATGCTTTAGCTGGAGGTTAGGGAATTGTCATGTTTTAGATTAGGGAATTTTAAAGTTTTAGAGGGAATTTTTGCTAAAATTGCAGTAAAAAAACTCCACTATATATATGTAATGAATGTAGAAATTATGTATAAAAATCATATCAAAACCCCTTGCAGTAACAATGTACAATTACAAATCCAATGCAGAACAGGTTTTATTCTACAATTATAGCATGGGGACAGTAAAATGCTAAGATATAGACTGCTTTTCCAGGTTACATTTTAAAAGATTCAACTTTGTTTTGTATATGCCTTGAATAAACTAGACTTGGAATCATGTAGTAGTTAATTAGATTTACAGAGAGATAAACCAATGTTTAAAGTGAAAGTCTCACTGATTGCAGTTTGTCTGTGTTCATTAGACTCTCATCTCTCACTCATCTCTGTATATAGGCAAGTTAAATGGGTAACAAGGAAATGAACGTAAGCAATTTAGGAATATTTATTATGTCTTCTGTGTAAAATAAGAGTTGATGAGATCAGTTCTGAAAAATTTCTGTGATTGTTGCCTACAACAAAATGATACAAATCAGTTCATAAAAATAGATAATTTTGTGGAGTTTTTTTTCCCCCAGGATTTGTGACAAAGCTTCATTTTATTTATCCATTTTGAATATACATGTATATATATTTTCTTAAATTAAAACACAGTATATAGAGGATATATGTTTGTTTTGCACGTACATGTAAGATTGAAATATATTTCACTGAGTGGACACCAGATGCAATATTTTCACGAGTGGCATAGTGAAAATATAATAGCTGGTGATCATGAGTAAAAAATATTTCAATCTTACATGGAAAACAAACAAATTTTCTACAATTTATTTCATGAGTTTTAAATGATTTTAAGTCATTTTTAGCTCGACTTTTCTATGAAAAGGGGAGCTATCCTACTCGCCCCGGCGTCGGCGTCGGCGTTGGCGTCACACCTTGGTTAAGTTTTTCGTACCACCCCACTTTATTTCAGAAGTATTACAAGTATGGCTTTGAAACTTACCATACTTGTTCACCATCATAACCTCCATCTACAGACAAGAGTACATAACTCTGTCAAGGTTTTTGACAGAATTATGGCCCTTTTTTAGCTCGACTTTTCTATGAAAAGGGGAGCTATCCTACTCGCCCCGGCGTCGGCGTTGGCGTCACACCTTGGTTAAGTTTTTCGTACCACCCCACTTTATTTCATAAGTATTACAAGTATGGCTTTGAAACTTACCATACTTGTTCACCATCATAACCTCCAATTACAGACAAGAGTACGTAACTCTGTCAAGGTTTTTGACAGAATTATGGCCCTTTTTTGACTTAGAAAGTGTATTGAGCTTGGTTAAGTTTTTTGTACCACCTCACTTTATTTCAAAACCATTGGAGGTATTGCTTTGAAACTGACCATACTTGTTTACCATCACGACCTTCATCAACAGACAAGAGGACATAACTCTGTCAAGGTTTTTGACAGAATTATGCCCCTTTTTGACTTAGAAAATACATTGAATATGGGTAAAATCCACTTATTGCCTTAACCCTTTGAGATATTGCTTTGAAACTTTTAATGCTATTTCACATCATTACCCCCATCTGTACGCAAGAGAAGGTAACTCTGTCAAGGATTTGTTTTAAAAATTAAGGCCTTTTATCGACTTAGAATCTTGGTTAAGTTTTTAGTACCAGTCCACTTTTTGACTGAACTGTTTGAGATATTAATTTGAAAGTTGGAATACTTGTTTACAATCATGATTCCCAAACATGTCCAGGAGAAGGTAATTCTGTCAAAGATTTTATTTGAATTATGGCCCTTAACTGTCAATGTTTTGTATTATAGGCAAGCACTAAAAAACTTAAAAAATCTAAAAAAATTCATTCCTATCCACTTGTTCACTTTACCATAAATTATGTCATATAAACATTGCTGTAATATTCAAGGGTATCAAACAACTAGTTCACTTTAAAAATACAGAGATTCTTGTATTGCCTTTTACTGCAAAAACTTTTTTTATTGGCAAGCAATAAAAAAGTCGAGCGCGCTGTCTTACGGACAGCTCTTGTTGACTTAGAAAGTGTATTGAGCTTGGTTAAGTTTTTTGTACCACCTCACTTTATTTCAAAACCATTGGAGGTATTGCTTTGAAACTGACCATACTTGTTTACCATCACGACCTTCATCAACAGACAAGAGGACATAACTCTGTCAAGGTTTTTGACAGAATTATGCCCCTTTTTGACTTAGAAAATACATTGAATATGGGTAAAATCCACTTATTGCCTTAACCCTTTGAGATATTGCTTTGAAACTTTTAATGCTATTTCACATCATTACCCCCATCTGTACGCAAGAGAAGGTAACTCTGTCAAGGATTTTTTTTAAAAATTAAGGCCTTTTATCGACTTAGAATCTTGGTTAAGTTTTTAGTACCAGTCCACTTTTTGACTGAACTGTTTGAGATATTAATTTGAAAGTTGGAATACTTGTTTACAATCATGATTCCCAAACATGTCCAGGAGAAGGTAATTCTGTCAAAGATTTTATTTGAATTATGGCCCTTAACTGTCAATGTTTTGTATTATAGGCAAGCACTAAAAAACTTAAAAAATCTAAAAAAATTAATTCCTATCCACTTGTTCACTTTACCATAAATTATGTCATAATAAAATAATTCTTCACTAAATATCTTAATGCTCATGGCCATTGTTCACTTTAAAAATACAGAGATTCTTGTATTGCCTTTTACTGCAAAAACTTTTTTTATTGGCAAGCAATAAAAAAGTCGAGCGCGCTGTCTTACGGACAGCTCTTGTTTACTTGTTTTGCAGCATAACATGCATTCTTCTTCATGATGTCATCGTACCAGTGTTGAAATTTAGTTCTGTAAAATTTTTGAATTTGTTACATTTTTAACACATTATGTACCGTATGCAGTTATTTACTTGTTGCTCCTAAAGAAGCAAAATTTACATACGACGAAATTTATTTCAGTTGATAATTCCATTTAGTTATTATGAAATATTTTTTTCATCCGCATTCAAATATAGTCTGGCTATAGTGAAAATTATCAAATAGAATTTCACTGTGAAAATTATCAAATAGAATTTTACTTTCTTCTGCAAAGCATGTAATAAGATAGTAATCCAGAACATAATTACCTTATAAAGATAAAAACATTTTGTTTAACATATATTTTTATTCTTTATTTCATTTTTTTTTTTTGCAGACATTTGATCATCACTGTCCATGGGTGAATAATTGTATAGGACGTAGAAACTACAGATATTTTTTCCTTTTCCTGTTATCACTCAGCACCTTAATGGTGTCCTTGTTTACATTAAGTCTCCTACATGTACTTAATCATAAAGACAATTTGGCGCTTATAGGAAATATTGTATGGTAAGTATTAATATTGTTTCTTTTGTTATTGCTTCACAAGATATTTAAGCTCAACACTGCTTGTTAATTGGCAAGTGTCATTTTTCTGTGACTGAACAAAAACTCCGCATGAAAAATGGTCATATTTCTTCCTAAATTTCAAAATTCCATAAAGAATGTAAGTTTTGAAGCTATTTATAAGATTTTAAAATACTGGCAGCAGAAATTTGAGTCCATTATAATTATGTTAGGCCATTAAAGGCTATAAAACTATCTCTCATAAAATATTTTTAATATTAAATTGATAATTATACTAAGTTTTAATCTGTCAATTGTGTTGCAATCTATATGCTTATTGAAACACTCTGTACCTGGAACTAACCAGTACTAAGCAAAAGTGTTAAGTTCTGTGCTCAAGAAAACACCCAGATTACCATGCTCAAGGAAACACCCAGATTACCATTTTTCAGTATCTTAAGAACCATACACTTTAAGCAATAAAAAAGCCTTTCCCTTCTTCTATAGATTGAATGACAGGGGAAGATTTTTTGTGTGTGTGTTTTTTTACTTAGACTAGCGATATAGGGCCAAGAAGGCTGTCTTGTTTGTCTCCTAATGCAAATGTACTCTGTCTTCTACACATGCTGAACATCAGTGTATGGCTATAGCAAAATGTAACAGAATTATAGCTCTTGTGGGAAATCAAAGCATATGTAATAGTGTTCATGTCCATGTAACTTTATAGGCTAAAGAAGCATAAATACTGTTTGCATCATTATTTTTTATAGACAGAGGGGGAGAATTCCTGGCATTTAGATACTAGGTGATTGATTTGTAGTTCTAGATGTTAGATTAAATCAATGCCATCGCGCAAAAACCTTTCTATATGCTACCTAATGCACTTGACTGATTGCTTTTGAAAATACAGCTCAAATATTTAAAGTGATGGAAGGCCATAATGGAAAATGATATTGAGAAATAAATATGTAACATATTTTATGAAAATGTAAATCTTTTCAATACTTGTAGAGCTTTTTCATTTGTAAATTATGTTTAAACTAAAACCAAGATTAAGATTTTCTTTTTAATAATCAATCAAGTAAATTAGAAAATTCATGCTGTGAAATATAATGTAGTTATGTATCCCAATTAAACCAAAACAAATGAGTGGGGTTTTAGCTCGACTATACAAAGTATATGGAGAGCTGTCCTACTCGCCCCGGCGTCGGCGTCCGCGTCCAGATTTTAGATTAAAGTTTTGGTGCAGTAAAATATTTTTCACTATAACTTTGTCATTTCTTAAGGTATCAACTTCAAACTTCAAATATATGTTCCTTATCATCAACCACATCTTATGTGACAAGGTTCATAACTCTAGCACCAATATTTTCAGATTAATCTCCCCTTGAACTTGGAATTTTCCTCAAAAAATACTATTTTTTACTGATACTTCTTTATTTCTTAAGGGATCAACCTCATACTTCAAATATATGTACCTTATCATCATCCCCATCTTATGTGACAAGGTTCATAACTCTAGCACCAATATTTTCAGATTTATCTCCCCTTGAACTTAGAAATTTCCTCAAAAAATACTATTTCTTACTGTTTCTTCTTTATTTCTTAAGGGATCAACCTCATACTTCAGATATATGTACCTTATCATCATCCCCATCTTATGTGACAAGGTTCATAACTCTAGCACCAATATTTTCAGATTTATCTCCCCTTGAACTTAGAATTTTCCTCAAAAAATACTATTTTTTACTGTAACTTATTTATTTCTAAAGGGATCAACTTCATACTTCAAATATATTTACGTTATCATCATCCACATCTTATGTGACAAGGTTCATAACTCTAGCACCAATATTGCAAGAATTATCTCCCCATAAACTTAGATTTATTTACTAGAAAAATGTTATTTTTTATTTTAACTTTTTTATTTTTAAAGGTATCTACCTCAAACTTCAAATACTTATTCCTTATCATCAATTACATTTTATGTGACAATGTTCATAACTCTTGAAGCAATATTTACAGATTTATCTCTCTTTGAACTTAGGATTTTCTTTAAGAAATATAATAACTTCTTTATTTTTTAATCTATCTACTTCAAACTTCAAATATATATTTCTTATCATTACACAAATGTTGTGTGGCAAGGTCCATAACTCTAGCATGACTTTTTCTAGAATTATTCCCCTTGATCTTGGAATTTATGTTAACAAATGTTATTTTTTTACTATAACTTAATACATAATTATACATAATTGATTTTGCTTTCATAGTTTTGTCCTCGTTACTGCGTCCAGTATTTTATTAGTCGAGCTTCGCTGTCTCCTGTGACAGCTCTTGTTTTTTTGGGTGGGTTGGAGGGGTGGGGGGTGTTAATTCATACTGCCAATGTGTTGATGACATTCTTGGATTGAAATAATGTAATTTTTAGTTTGACTCTTTGATAAGAATAAGTAGAGCTATTGTAGTCACCCTAGCGTCGGTGTCCGCGTCGGCGTAACCACTTATATTAAAGTTTTTGTAATACCTCATATATTTTCAAAGTTCATTGATATATGGCTTTGAAACTTTGCACACTTGTTCACCATAATGACCATAACCTGTAGACAGGAGGAGGTAACTGTATCAAGCACTTTGACAGAATTATGCCCCTTTTCAACTTAGAATTTACATTTAGGTATGCATACCACCTCAGATGTTTCCATATTCTATTGAAACAAGTTGAAATTTTATACTCTTCTTTGAGAGCATAACAGGACTCTCTCCAAGGCCTATAACTGTAACATGGATAGAAAAATTTTGTCCTTTTGTTATTAACTCAGAAAATTTTACATTATCAAGGCTCTTTTACTACCAAGCCCTAAGAAAGTTGTCCTACCAACAGCTCTTGTTGGCTTTTAATTTTGCGAAAAGAAGGATATCTTAAACATTGACAATGTTAGATATAAAAAGAATAATTTGTTTTTGTGTAACACAGTATTCTCATATGTTTGACACAACTTCTATTTTTCAACATTTGCACTGCATTTGTGTACTGAGGTTTGATTTTCTAATATTGATAATTTTCAGTTGGATGATTACTATAATTATGTTATTCTTATATATTTCAGTATAGTAGTTATGTGTATTATAGGACTTCTGATAATCCCAGTTGGAGGATTAACAGGGTTTCATATAGTTCTTGTTTCCCGTGGTCGTACAACTAATGAACAGGTAAAAAAACAACATTTTTTAGGTTGACTATTATATTTATAAAATAGGGATCTACACACCCAGGCATCTGTGTCACAATTTTGGTGAAGTTTTTCATACCACCCAAGTTATTTCCTATACACTTTGACATATTGCTTTGAAACTTTATATACTTGTTTGTGACCATGACCATCACTAGTTCCAAACAAGAGAACATATTTCTGTCAAGTATAATGACAAAAATGTTTTGACTTTAAATTTATACTTCCCTTTATTACAACAATGAACATAATACATGTATATCATATAGTTAAAGTGAAATTTCAACTAAAAGATTCTAATAACTTTAAAAATTACCCATATTTTATGGATTTGTGCATGATCTCTGCAGCTGTTATGGACATATAATTTAGTTGTCAGATAAAATATGACATTGTCTCTACAGTCAGTCACTATACTTTTTACTCAAACCGCTGACATTGCCTCAGAAAATGGTATTATCTAAAGGTCAAAGGTGATTGTAGCTCTACTTGGTCCAACTTTGGGAACATTTGTCTGTTTACAGTCTTGTTTTATAAAGTTATTCATAACATACATGTATATTTCTTTATAATCTTTTAGGTGACAGGGAAATTTAAAGGTGGACATAATCCATTTACAAGAGGTTGTTCTAAAAACTGTTCTTATGTTTTATTTGGACCCACATGGCCAATGTAAGTTTTATATGTATTGATTATTATTTTTTTGATAATGAAGAAATTTAATTCTGTATTGAGAAAGATCAAAGTTTACACTAATATTAATATTGTATCTAAAAACACCATTACTCTTACTTAAGTACAAGAATATTTTTCATTAGATAAATACGAGGGTTGTTCAAAAAGTAATAGGACTGCAGCTCTACTGCTCACATATTTTTATCTACATACACGAGTTTACAAAAAACAAATATCGGAACATGTCATCTATATACAGTGAAAAAATCAATACAATATGTTTAAAAACAACAATGCTGTGAAACTTACAAATAACAAGAGGTACGCGACCCGGCGCACGCTAATAATTAAATAAAGGACGTCCATGACGTCGCAAAATAAATTCAAAATGTAACAGCGTCATTCCTTCTGATATTACTCTCTTCAGTATTCTAGATGTCTGAATCATGTATCTATAACCAGAATTCATCTGTGGAGATGTAGCCAAAAAAAAACCAATCACATTTTCATTTCTCTCTACGAAACATGCCCGGTGGCCGGCAACTTTCGGTTTTATCTCGTGATTTTGAATAACCTGGGATTTTAACGGGCATGGACATATAATGTTAATGTTATTTATTAGTCCCCTACCGGTTTACTGGAGGGGACTTTAGGTTTACCCTCCGTCCGTCTGTCCGTCCGTCTGTCCGTCTGTCAGTCCGTCAGTCCGTCCGTCCACAAAACTGGATCCCGCGATAACTTGAAAAGTACTGAAAATATTTTTATGAAACTTGGTATATGGATAGATGGCAGTATGGAGATTATGCACGTCTTTTTCTTTTCTTCCTATGTTGAAAATTCTGGTTGCTATGGCAACAAATAGGCTGAAAATATGGCAAATTTTACACATAAACTGGATCCAGTGATAACGCAAAAAGTACTGGAAATATTTTTATGAAACTTGACATATGGGTAGATGGCAGTCTTGAGATTATGCACGTCTTTTTCTTTTCTTCCTATGTTGAAAATTCTGGTTGCTATGGCAACACATAGACTGAAAATATGGCAAATTTTACACATAAACTGGATCCAGTGATAAAGCAAAAAGTACTGGAAATATTTTTATGAAACTTGACATATGGGTAGATGGCAGTCTTGAGATTATGCACGTCTTTTTCTTTTCTTCCTATGTTGAAAATTCTGGTTGCTATGGCAACACATAGACTGAAAATATGGCAAATTTTACACATAAACTGAATCCAGTGATAACTCAAAAAGTACTGGAAATATTTTTATGAAACTTGACATATGGGTAGATGGCAGTCTTGAGATTATGCATGTCTTATCTGTTCTTCCTATTTTGAAAAAATATCAGTTGCCTTGGCAACAAATAGGCATAAAACATGGCAAATATAACAATATTTGTGATTAGTCAAAAAGAGCTGAAAAATTTTATGAAATTGCATCTTTAATTCAAGAGTTATCTCCTGTTTAAGAATTTTGCTTTTAAAATGTTATATTTTGGTAACAGGGATGTTTCAAATATTAACTTTAGAGTGTCCTTCAGTCCGTCTGTCTGTTCATATAAACTGTTTCCTGTGATCACTTTTAAAGAACTTTTCCAACAAATTTACTTAAGATAGAGAAAAATTGAAAAATTAGTGAATGGCCCTTCAGAATGTTGATGGGGTTCTAACCGGTAGGGGACTTATGGATTGCTTGCAATACTATGATAATTGCTTGTATTATTTATTTACACATGCCATCTTACATTCTTAAAACAATATGATTATGTATTGTATATTAAAAATATTTATTAATTGAAAAATATTCTCTTCTTCTTAGCACAGGTTATCATTTATTAAACAAAATCGAAGAAAATGATATCAGTAATTACCGTGTATCATTATCAAATTTATTCAATGATAACACACATATATATATCTAATAAAATAAAATAGTGTTAAAAAAATCCCCTATTCAATAATTTTCTCAGAACTGAAAAAATAGACCCGATGTAGACATCAAACATGCCGGACAGTTAGCGGACTGTATATCGTTGATACTTTTGTAGCGCTTTTGCAATCGACGTCTCTAACGTCTGTCAATTTTCCGCTTTCTTCATCACCATTTCTTGTCTGTGATCTCATATTTACCATCTTTGAACTGCTTTCCGAAGCTGAAAACGAGTGTTCTTTTAATCTTTTCATACGTATCTGAAGGAGTATGGCCTATCTGTTGGCAAAATTTAACGATCGCACACATTTAAAGTTTTTCAACGAACTTCATTTTTCTACATTTAACGCTATTATCACTGCTGTTCAAAACGTTACAGTTTAGCCATTTCTTGTCTGAATGACGTCAAATTTGGACAAAATGTCACTTTAATATAATAAAATGTGTTTGTGAAATATTACGGACAAAATACATCATATAATGAATAAACTGAAAGTTCAAATTAGTGGCAAAATACTTTTGATGTGTTGCGCCTGGTGCATGTTACCATGGTTATTCAATATCACAGAGAATACGCATTTAGGACAATAATTCAGTAAACTTATGCTGAAGTTGTAGAAAACAGTTAACTATTGCGGTGCATATGAAAATATTCAAAATCTAATGGAATACGAAGACATAAGACTGTTATTCCTGTTACCTTTTGAACAACCCTCGTAAATCATTATCTAATCTGTAAGTTAAGAAAGTTTTTTGTGTGCATGTGTTTATGGAACAAGCCTATTGGTATTTAACTACATCTATTTATAAAATACCTGTTCAAAGTGAGGCTGATGTTATCAAAGCTTCAGTTACTTTTAACAATTTAGTATATTTTAATGTTTATAGTTAACCAATATTATTTCCTATACTTTTATAAGGATTTTGACAGCTTTGTGTTGCTTGTCAAATTCTACACAGGTGTAGGCAAAGCTTACTCATTTATAAAGTTTTACAAGGTCATCAAAACATTTTTCCAAGAATTTATGTTGGTATCACAATAACATTGACAACAGACACTGTCTTGAAATTTAAACAAATAATCATATTACATGAAAGAGAAGAGGGGTTGATATGCTCTTCAACTCTTTAATTGCTAGTGCTAAAAATAAAGTGTCTAGTAATACCATGATAGAGAGAGCCTGGCAGACAGGCTGACCTGACTTTATACGTAGTAGTGCCTTCATCATTTTGAGATCTCTTAATGATAGTCTGGTTGTTTCTGGTTAGTAATCCAGGGGTCACTGGTTCGATTCTTGGACAAAAACAATTATTTTTTGTGACATTTGTTCTCATACATTGAGTCTAATGGTCACTTGTCCTAAACTCTGCTTCAGAAATCATGTGGGGATAAGTAGTCAGTCATATGTGGGAAAATTGGTAATTATTGGTTAGTTATCCACAGTAAGCGCTGAGATGTAATAAGAAAATTGTGTTAAAATTAAAGAAGGGGGGGGGGGACCTGAAAAAGATAGTTATAAGTTCCATGTTCAGTGGAGAACAAAATTAATGTGTTACAGAAATGCGTCTAGATTTACAGGTTTCACAATATTATTTTATTATTTCAGATTAAAGTCTTATGTACGTAAAACTAGAACTATACAGATAGACTCGGCCAAGGTAACTTATATAGCAGCTGACAAAGAAGTGAAGGTGTATGCTGACACTAGTAGTAATGGTGTTAAAAGAAATATGAAAAATGTAAGACTGAAACCCGTTTCACTGTAGTTTATATTTATATTTCTCTTGTCCCCCTTCTTACATCATGTTCCCCCTTTTTACATCACGTTCAATGAATGTTGTCATAGAAGTTTACTGCTCAAGCCTGCTTGAATTTTTGTTAAAAAACTCGTTTTTTCACCTATTAGTTCATCATATCTGTCATCAAATATTGTTTAAGAGTCTTCACCATTGCCTGTAATGTATGATTGATAGGGAAAATGTTTAAAAGTTGTGTGATAAGAAATAATAGACAGAATTTTATTAAGAAAGAACTGTTTGTTTCTTAAATTAATATGAATTGCATTTTTGAATGGAGTTATTTTTGCATTTTTGATGTATTTATACAGTATTATTCAACATGAAATTTTGATTGCATCATTCTAGTTAGGATATGTATACTGTGAATAAAGTGGACATTCCAGAAAGCAAGGACGGTAAAGCTAGAATTTTAAATTTGTATAAATCTTAAAGTTAAACTGTTGATACAGAAACAAATAAATTTTGTTGAATATAAATTATTACTTATATACAGGTTGCTGACTGGATATATGGGAGAATATAGCCTGAATGATATAAATATGACCCCATGCACTGGTATATACTGCATCGTATACAAAGTGTTTAAGCCAATCAAAATTCAAGAAATATTGGTACCCATTTTACTTTTGCCTTCAGGTTTTCATATCACAAATTCTGGTTTATTTGATTCTAAGATTTTACGTGTATATAATAAATAAATTTTAACTGATAACTGCAGATTTTGTCAGACCATTTAACTTAAGTACAAAAACATACTTTATGTCATAACCAGCATTGAATGACCTGTATTATATAAAAAAAATGTATGGCTGGAACAAGACTGCTTATCTTTGTAGTCCAGATAATTATTTTAATTTTGAAATCACCTAAACTATTATTCCATAGTTCCACAAGCAAAACTTTCAGAAGAAGAAGTCCATCACAAAACTTAAGCAGGGTAATTTTTAATTTTTTTTTCACAAAATGTTTTCATAATAAAATATTGCAGAAGTTGATGAAATAGCAAATCTTAAGTTTCTTCAAGCATGAATGGCATGGGTTTAGGTAACTGTCTGTATTAATGTTTTAACAAATGCAAAATAAATCACTTTAAGTCCATTCAGTGCAGCTAAATCTAAAAACAGTAAGATGAGTTAATTATTGGACAGGTTGTGTAGAAATTCTTTTGAAGTATGATTTGGTTTATTTATTAGTTATGGTGAGAGAATGTGTTTATTTATTTATGATGCCTAATGTCTAATGAATGTAGCATGTTTTATTTAGTTTCAGAGATGGTATTTCTAGAAGTTGTTGTTGTTGCCGAAATTGTCCCCTCATTTATCCTATATGTATGATGCTTATGCTTTAAGTGTACAGAACTTCAGCTTGACAATCTTTTATTAACTCAACAAAATCTTTGATATCATATGTTTATTCTTTGCCATGAAATTATCATTCTTTGCCATTTTAGCATTGCAAATGATTGGTTTATTTATTGCCATTTTGGCATTGCCAATAAATAAGTAATTTTTGCCATTTTGTTATTGCAGATGAATAAGTAATTTTTTAGACATTAAAATATTAATTGTTGACAAGTAACTTATACTGAAATTGTGTATTCTTACTAGATTAAAGTGCCTTAAGGATGTATGCATAGTGAACTTTGATATTTTACTACCTTAAGAAAACAAAACCTTCTTGTTCTTAATTTAAACATAGAAGTGAATGTTGATTAACATTAGAATTGTTAAGCTGAAGTGATTGTGTGTTTTGTATTTTTTGTTTGGGGTTAGAATCAAAACAGGTCAGTAGATATCATACAATACTATCTCTAGCACCATACACATTTAACTGAGTTTACAATTTCAAATGCTATATTTAACTCTTAGAATTGTTGGACTCTGTTGGTTAATATTTACTTGATAAAAAAGATCAATCTCCCTGTCCTTATTTATAATTTTTGATTTATTTTTAATATCAAATAGGAAAAAATGAAAATATGTATAATTTTTTTCCGGGTGGATTGGGGGTGTGGGGTACTTTTTAAAGTACATGTATATCTATAATGTATTTTAACCATAGTTTTCACCCATTTACTATCAATGTTGTTTTGTTTTTTTTCATCTTGGAGATAAAGCATTGTGATTGAATAGTTAATTAACCTTGGGAATCTTAAAGTAATGTGAATAGTCAAATATTGTATGGTGTCTGTTGACCAGTCAATTGGTACAAAAATGTTTTTGTTTGAAAATGTTGAATGCAGAATGACAAAACAAAATGTTTTATTTATTTATTTATTTAAGTGTTTTCACATATTTTATTAAAACAAGATTACCTCAATAGGATTATTTTTGTTTTTGCTATATTATTTTTATTATAATTTAGGGAAGTTGAGACATGGTTTAAAATTGTCATCTATTTCGGAATCTGAATTACAGTTTAATTTCAAGAATAGTTTCCATGGCTACAAGGAGCTATTCTCATGTATTAAATTCATATGTTTTGGGGTTTTTTTTGGTAATAGAATTCATTAAATTATTTGATGTCACATGCCATGTTTTTACTGAAAATATTCGTGCACAGAAATGTTTCAATGAATTTCTATTTTCATGCTAATTGGATTTGTTGATTGAAAACCACAAAATCCTTGAGAATAATTCCTTACTGAAAACCACATGTAAGAAATTTATGTTTGAAATTTAATTCAAAAAATATTTAAGCTGCGTCACGACAAAACCAACGTAATGCATTTTCGACCAGCATGGATCCAGACCAGCCTGCGCATCCGAGCAGTCTGATCAGGATCCATGCTGTTCGCTTACAAACCCTATTACAAGTAGAGAAACTGATAGCGAACAGCATGGATCCTGATCAGACTGCGCGGATGCGCAGGCTGGTCTGGATCCATGCTGGTCGCAAACCCACTATGTTGGTTTTGTCGTGACACGGCTCATTTAGTTATTTGTCAGATAGAGATGGCCTTAAAATATTTTTGTTATTTTGTCTAAATTTAGTACATGTAATTTAGTTTAGAATTTTAAACTAAAACAGTTTGGTTTGTCAGTCTGTTATTAAACATTCACTGATAGCAGATTGGTTGTTAATTGTTTGCAAATTATAGATTTTGATTGTAGACAGAAAATGTAAACAGACTTTCTCTATGATATGAGAAAGAATTGGTTATTTAATTAAAATTTGCCTGAAAATATTTTTGTTCCGGAAGTAATTCTAAATTTTACCAGATTTTGTTAATTAAAATAAAGAATAGCATGCAAATGTTTGGAATTTTCTTTTTAGATTTTTTTTTTTTTTTTAGAAATAGTTTTGAATTCTGCTATCTTTGCAATTATATGTTTGTATTTGCATGTTTTAGACTCAGTTTGCATGCATATTATAGGTTTGTTTTTGTTGTAGTTACAACTGTTTAATGTCGTTACTAAGCAATTCTGGGAAATTCATCAACGCTCCTTCATTGTAATTTTTTGCCAGTCACTTGTGGTACATAATTTAACATGCTGATCTTGTATACAATACTACATGTACATAAATCAATGAAATCTTTATACTGTACATGTATTTTAATTAGTTCAAACTTGCATTGTAGTTTTTTCACCAAATTGTACCCAGTTGAGTGTTGATTTTGTAGATTTGTATGGCTACAGTTCAAATTTTAGGAACACATCTGTATAATATAGAAATCAATATGTTTTTTTTCTGACTAAAAGTTCAATGATTGAAAAAAAAGATTAGTGTGATAGGGAACATGTTAATGTTAATAAACTAAAGGGTTAGGTAAATTTCCTAACAATCTGTGTGAAAAATATTAGAAGCTTATTTCATAAGTTTTGAATTTATTTTTTTAATTTATGCTTGTCACGAAAAAATACCTCTATCAATTACTGCTTTGATGATTAAATTGGAAATTTCTATGTACTTAGATTATTATTATTGATTCACATATAACAGAGACTGTATTAGAGAATAGCTTTATACTTAATATAAATATGGAGAACACATTAAAGGTAGAATTCAACTGTTGTTACTAAATACATATAAGTAAAATAAGCATTGTCTTACGTATGCAATAATAAAAATTCAAGAATGTCTCAGTATGTAACAGTTAATTACAATATTAACTTTTTTACAGTAAATTTTATACTGTGGGTTCAATTAGTGGAATAATAAATTGAGAATGAGAAAGACAACAATCACATGATAATTGGTGTGTTATTGAATAATTGCTACTTGATGTATTTATAGCGTCTTTATATGCTAAATCTGCAACTGTCAGCATTTTACAGCATGCACTTCTAGTCAATATTGGAACGCCTGATATGATAGCATTCTTTACATTTCAATTAGAGATATTATAATTCTAAATTTGGAGCTATTAATCTGTAGCATGAGAATGCTGACTAAGATAATATGTGAAGGGCTTGGTCCTTGGTTTTAATATGTATAACATAAAAAATTGGTAATAACTGTTTTTACATCAAGTCTTTTGCTCTTTATTTTTAACAAGGTTAGTGTTAGTTGATACAGTAGGCAGACAGAACGATTTAGAAAATGTTTCTTACTTTGATGAATTAAATTTAGGTATTAAAACTAAAACCTAACTTTGGGATATTAAGTCTTTTGAGTGCTGTTGATGATAGTAACATCTGAATTATGCCAGAAGTGAAGAGTCCAACTAGGCTGTACATTGATGCAGTGTAACCAGGTTTTATGCTAATGGCTAGTCAAGATTAGTGATATCATATAAAATATAAATACTAGTAAAATGATTTGAATTCAAAAGGGGAACATGATTATGTTATATACAAACTAAAGCTGATAAAGATGTTGACAGTTACAGGTTTCAAGGTGATGGTGTATTACTAATTGTCATGTTTTCTTTCACAGGGAGTTATGACACCAGTTTGAAGATGATCACGCCCAATTATTACCCTGTGTCTTTTTCTCAAAATCCACATATAACCAAATGGTGTTGGGGAATATATTTGTGGTTGTTTTTGTTAAGAAAATGCACGTTATTAGTGAGTTAGTTGAATTTTGCTCTAATTTTGCTGCACTAGTGATTTAGATTGGTGTGTGTTCTCACATATCTCGCTCTGCCTTGTCTCTTCTAATCAATTCCCATCCTTCTTTGCACGGCAGGACCGCGACGGAATGCGTTTGTCACTTGTAGATGATTACGATGATGGCGACTTCACGTCTACTCAGTCCCAGGACAGTGTTAGCCTTGATATTGCTTCATCTAAAGAGAAACATTCTGCCTCTTACACAAATCTTTTTGACCCTTCGCAGACCATGCCGGTAGGTGCCACATACCAGCAGACAAGGGCTAGCAGCAGTAGTCCTCGGGTATCTGGAAGAAGAGACATACGGTATGATCATTCTCCAAGACCAAAACAAGTTTCCCACCCATCACTTAATAGACCAACTAAACCTCCTTTAGCAGTGGCTGAAGATTTTTCACCTGAAAGTGGCAAACCTCCTAAAGGTAGACTTAATATTAACAGCCCTGGGGCTGATAGATCAAATATTGGTATTGTTAAGCCCAGACCTGGGCAAGCAAGACCTTATCATGACCAGCCAAGAGGTCATGGTCAAAGGTCACAGAAGTTAAATGGTTATCCAATTAGAAGTTCTAGTGAGGAAAGATTCAGGGATTTAGAAAGAAAGCCAGTTGAATCAAAAACTAGTTCACAAGGATATAATAGATATCCTGACGAAAAGACACGTAGATCTAATGAATTTTTAGATAAACGAGGTGGTGCCCAGCAGCATTATCCTCAACAGGGAACCAGTAGAACGTTACCCAATGAGAATAGATATGGTAATAATTATCCAGCCAATCAGAATAGATATTCACATGATGCTGGTGGTGATCCAAATGACCCTGACTATAAAAGACCCATGTCTTTCGTGAAAGCTCTTGAAATGAGTGAAATAATGCAGACTCGTGATAAAGATCAGAAAGAGAGACAACGACGGGAGGAAAAAAAGAAAAGTGTTTACGATTCAGCATATGAAATTTCTGTGTAAAATAAGAACTTTGAGATTAAATTATAGTGTTTCTTTTGATGTTGTAAATATATATTATCCAAAAGTATGTGTAAGGTTTTTGAAACTATTCAAGTGCACAATTCTTATTTTTTTAAAGGGTCTACAATTATCGAATAATTTTGCTTTTAACTTAAGCCTTTTCACCTATCTGTTTCTTTTAAAAGCTTGTTATCTTGATAGCTGATAAGTTAGTTTTTAAAGCTATGTATAAGTTCAGGATATTTATTGTAACACGACGTTTTATAACAGAAATGTTATGCTGAGATTGTAAAAATAATGTTTTGTAAACAGTCAAATAAGTACCTTATTAATTGATAATTCTGTTCTGCACCAATCCATGTTATTTGGCAACATTTTGTTGCCTAAATCTGTTTAAGGTCACTTTCTTTTATAATTTTGCATAGAAAGTGTTAATAGAATAATGAAATTATTTTTTCTTAAATTGGTTGTATTCTTGGATTTAATTTAACTTGAAATTCAAACTGCCTGCTTTACTCTGCTGTAACTGATAGTGATTGTTTATCACCAGTAAGTCCAGTAATTCTAAGTCTATATCAGTCTGTGTATAGTAAAGATAACCAATGAAACTTCAGATAGTAAACCAGTCAAAAATTAAAGCAACTGATTGGTCAAATGAATATTTCTTTTTTGACTGGTCCACAGTTTTCATAATATTGGACCTAATTTTTAAATCAATAAAACAGTAATGTATAGATGCTTTAATGCTTGCATGATTGGTGGAGAAAGATTGTATAGTTGGTGTTGATTTAGCATTCCATGTCACATGACTTGTTCTCTGTTTATAGTTCTAGTTGATTTCTTTCAGGGATTCTGTGTATCATTTTATAGTCTTATTTATAATCATTGTTTTTCCTTTTTTGTTTTTTTTTCTGATTTTATCATGGTACATTATGCTCCTGAGTTTTGAGTTTTACAAATTATTGTTTTGATGGTCATTCTTCATAATAACCAATAAGTGTTAAGATTATGTTTTAAGAATATTTGATACCACTTTCCTGGAACAGTGCTTCTAAGATTTTAAAGCATTTTGTTTATTTTTATTAGATTTATAATGGTTTTAAAATTGCAAACCTATTCAAATAATAAAACATGTTGTCCTGCTCCTTAACTTTCTGTTGAAAGAGACTTTCAGACAAAATAACAATTTTAGAGACAACAGAAAATAACAAATGAATATAAACTTAGTAATGACTTAAGTTTAATCAAGTTAAGTAAAAAATTCATTTATAGCCATGTCAAGCATAACTGTTATTTTAACTTTATGACAAAATAATATTCTAATTTGTATTCAAGACACATTTTTTTTTAATCAAGTATAAGGACAAATTAGGCAGTAAAGCTAGTTATATGGCATTTAAATTAATGATTGATCAGTGTTTAGACATGTGCTTATTTTGTGTATTAGTTGCATGATTTTATTATTCTGGAAATTTATTTTAATATTGATTCATCAACACTTTTAAATATGCTGGACATTTTTCTTACTGTAGAGGATGTTCACAAGAAAAAGACAAAAAAAAACATTAAAAAAATACTTTTAGAAAATAAACTGTTGCTTTGTTAATAACTACACCAAATTAATCTTATCTCTATTTCGTTTTTAAATATTTAAAATTTCCCTCTTACTTGCTCTTCATCATTTTATATGTTCTGAGTTGTTTCATTCATTGAAAGAAATTGTCATAATTAGTACAAAGCACTGCCAGTCATATACTTAATTAATGAAACATTAAAAATAAAATCCGTAAATAAATTGACAAAAATACAGAAATTAATTTATACTGATGGGTTAAATAGATCTACTAGGTATGCCATTTTTGCCAAGTCAGTTTTTGTGTGTCAGGAAACGCCACTACATGTAGAAAAAGAATTAGATTTTACACCTTAACAATAAAAATTTAACTCGCCTCGTTACTATATTATTATCATGTAAATTTCACATCAAATATAAAGTGTATCGAAACAGTTTTTTAATCATTTGTAAATTTTTGGAAACTAAAGGAGGTATAGGAATTATTTGTCATTTGAAAAGAATTTAATAGACTGTCATACTTCAAAAAAAAAATGTCATGTAAAAGACAAGACACAAATTCAACTAGTTGTAACTATTCCAGTCCAAAAGTTCATACTGGTAGTTAAAATACCTTATCCACACCAGGAAAGAGCCTTAGGGGTGGGGTGGCCTGTATACTTAACAGTCTAAAAAGTTTCACTACAGTTGTCTGTTAAAAATTCTTTCACCTTATGAACATAAGCAACATTTGAAACTTACCAGCATGGTCAGCTTGTACATACAGTTCAACCTATTCCAAGCAACACCGTTTGGGATTGTTTCTGAGATTTCATGCTCTTGAGGTAAAATATATTGTGAAGTCTTTACCTTTAGAAGAAGTTTATATCTAAAGAATGGGTAGCTCTGTAGAGAAGGTGTCAATGTTTTTGTTGTCTAACTGGGGAGTTTTATTGGCTACCTGGTTTTATTAATTTGACACTGAATTTCATTCAAAGCAGCACAAGTCGATTAGACAAATGAAGCAGGGTCAATGCTTAATCACTGCTAAACAGATGGCAATTCAAAGAATGGCAATACCATTACACAATCTGTACATGATAAGAAATGGTAAAGCTTATTGAGTTTTGACTATGAAGTATTCGGCCTTAAACCCTTTGTCTGCTGGCAACCGAAGAATCTACCCATGTGACCAGTGCAGACCAAGATCAGCGGACATATCTGTGCCTGTAGCCCCGATCATTGTCTGCACTGTTCGCTGTTCTTAAGTCAGTATTTATTTTTTGCTTTCTTGTTCACTTACCTAAACTGATAAATGGTTTTGTCTTAATTTAAAGATGGATAAGTCCATTTAAACTTATGATGTTAATCTGCTTGTTATATCCATCACATGACACCTGTTTTACACATGTATATAATTCTATATATTCAAAAAAACCAACAAAATTGTGTATAAATATTCAGTCACATGATATGCTGTATTTCGTATGTTAGAAATCCTCATAAGAAATTCATTACATCAATGTATAAATTCATTTCTGCAAGTGGTCCAGCTACTTAATCAGTGTCTCCATTACGAACATTATTTATTATTTACATTGTAAGATAGCCTTGTAAGAATATTTCCTATTATTTGATTTATTCACAAACATCATTAAGCCATGTTCAAGCATTGTATATGGCGAATCATGCAGAGTAGATTAATAGGAAATGTGAAATGTAGTGTATTTTTAGATCAAAGTAATCAAATGTTAGAAATATCACAGACAATAATTTTCTTGTGAATGCAAGGCTGCCATGGAGCATATTATAACACAACAGCACCACACCCATCCATTTCTACCTTCTCTCATGTAATGTTGACTTGCTTAAGCAATTCTGTGTCAATCAGTTTTTGACCTGTTAGAAAATATTGGACTTTATCAATTTACCATTTTAATTTACACAAAAAAATGCAGGCTTGTCACATGTATCAATATAGGAAGTATTTATATTTATTTTAAGAGAATATATTTATTTTTCGAGCAATTGTGTAATAAAAAAAGGGAATTTTCTAACAGTTTTCAAGATCCAATTTCCTGCCACTCTTGTTTATTGAATAGATTTAACCTAGTAAATTAAATTTATGTTGGAATAAGTTTGGGTAATAAACCATAGTAAGCCACAATTTTCAGGATATGATTTCATTAAATTACAAAAGATAACTCTGTGAAGTAGCTAGTTTAGAAATTTTACTTGAATTTACATTATAGCCAAAAAATTCCAAAAGTATGAAATCAGGAATGCCTAATAGTTTATTAATTGTGGAATGCTAAATAACAACATTTTGTAAATGAAGTGAAAGAGAAAACATACATTGTGTAGTTTTACACCAATTTTATTAATATAAAACCAGTATAGAAATTGTTGAAAACTTTGTTTATCTATTCAAATAGTCCATTACTACTTTGTTTTCTCGATTGTTCCCTCTTTTATTTCAAATAGATGTTACAAACTTCATAGATTTTTTTTTCTCTGAATAGATCTCATTTTATTGTTGGTTAGTATTGAGAATTTAGCTTACTGTTTGAATGTACCTGATAACATGAATGTACCTGATAACATGAATGTACCTGATAACATGAATGTACCTGATAACATGAATGTACCTGATAACATGATTTTTAAGATGTCATGTCCTATAGCATGTTGACAAAGCTTTTGAATAATTTGACTTATTGATAAATAAGCTGGGTCACGACAAAACCAACATAGTGCGTTTGCGACCAGCATGGATCCAGACCAGTCTGCGCATCCGTGCAGTCTGGTCAGGATCCATGCTGTTCACTTACTAACTCTTTTACAAGTAGAGAAACTGATAGCGAACAGCATGGATCCTGACCAGAGTGCGCGGATGCGCAGGATGGTCTGGATCCATGCTGGTCGCAAACGCACTATGATGGTTTTGTCGTGGCGCGGCTCAAATTAAATTGTATTATAAACTGATTGTCCAGTGATGCTTGAATTATCCCGTCGTTAAGATGTAACTAAGCTACTGTTATTAAGGGTAGTTCAATGTGACAGGTCTCCAGTACTTTTTGGCATTTCCTGCCGCAGTTTTAATATTTTGATGCTATGATGTTTTACATAAATGAATTTGTTCAAACTGTTTCAAACTTCAAAACAGGACAAGTAAATTACATGTATACAAATTGATGACGGAAAATAAATTGTAATCAGTTACTGTTAAGTTGGATAAGATATTTAGTTTACTAGTTTTCTAATTAAAGAGTTTAGAATTACATATCAGTAAATTGTTATCTGTTAACTTGATCATAAAAATGGCAACAATAAATTGTTGATTAATTACCTGTATTTTGTTCCAAGTCTTAGGTGTATTTTATTTATTTTATAGCTTTATCAGAATTTCTTGGTTATTCTTAATGTAAATGTTTTCAATTTTTTTAGAAAAAAAAAAACTTTCAAAGAAAAATATGCTTTTCATAAATGGCTGCTTTATGGATGTTTTGTAAAGAATGGGATGTCAGCCAAATGACAGAATTCTTGGCCTCTTAAAATCTGTTTTAAAAATATTTTGCAGCTTAATATTATTTTGTTAGATATGATTCATTGTGGGTAACAACTTTGTGTCAATGAAATAATTATTTCAATTTTTGTTAAACATGGCATAGTTTTTGAGTGAATCTGTTATATAAATACAATATATCATCATTTGTCACAAATTGTGTTTTCCTCTATTAATATGATGTATTTAAAGTATTATTATACTAATATCTAGGGAGTGACATTGAATGCTGTGTGGGTACTAATTCTGAAATTAGCCTAATGAGGATAGATATATAGACATGTATTATATAAATTACACATGGCTGTTCGAGTTTTTATAAATGAGCCGTGTCATGACAAAACCAACATAGTGCGTTTGCGACCAGCATGGATCCAGACCAGCCTGCGCATCAGCGCAGTCTGATCAGAATCCATGCTGTTCGCTTGCAAACCCTATTACAAGTAGAGAAACTGATAGCGAACAGCATGGATCCTGATCAGACTGCGCGGATGCGCAGGCTGGTCTGGATCCATGCTGGTCGCAAACACACTATGTTGGTTTTGTCGTGACGCGGCTCAAATATTGTCAGCCTGAGAACTGACATACTGCTGAGGGGTAATATACCAGTTTAAGGGTTGACTATATCAACTAACATCACTGATATTATTTTAATATGCTGAAATTTACATAAAGAAGGGTGATATGAGAAATATTGTCATGAAAATATTCTCTCCCGAGTGTGATATTTATGTGCTCCAGGTAGATATAAAAAATATATCTTTGGGGAATATTCTCTTTGAGGAAGATATTTAATCATAACGCACATTGCATTATAGGTCTATTGATGTTTTAATTTGAAGCATATATTAAGGTACATAGGAACTTAGACTAAGGTATGATTTAACCCCCTGTATGTATTGACCCCTTTCATAAATAAAATAGTAAAACTCTTACTTTTGCTTTCGGTTTGTATCCCAACAGATCTGGCTTACTTCCCTTGTATTTATTATTTTTAAGTAATTCTATTCTTAAAGCCCATACCTAAAACACCTTAATATCCTTTCTTGAATTGCCTAATATACTTAGTAAAATTGTTTAATTTGATTTATTTCTGGTGCTAGTTTTGGACATGATATGCCCGTGTCATGCACCTGTGTTGAGTCATAATGCTTATTATATGTAACTTCATATACTGACTGCTGTACATTGTTAGTGACTGAAAGTGATTTTACTAACTCAGATAATTGATTTCTGAAATTTAAAGCAGGGCACATTAGTTTATTTAAGCTAACCATAGGGAATTCAGGAGTTTTATAACATTGAATAATAGAAGATAATTAAATAAGGAGGGAATTATTCTGAATAAACTGATTCACTAAAAGGTGTGCAATTTTGATGTGTTTTGTGTATAACAAATGTTATAACACATTATAGGTACAAATTAGCAAATTGAATGCTGCATTGTAAACTTGTCTTTTAATTTTATGAAGTATTATATTTTAAGGTAGATATCCTGAATCAATATATGAAAATTTAATTATCAAAAGTGTTTTAAACATTTTGTTACTGCTTGTTGATTGTGTTTATACCTCAGTTTGTTTTAGCTGCCTTTTTTGGTTGCACGATTAGTTTTAACAGGGCTTTATACTGCTAACCTGGGAATTCCTGGATATACATGGTCATAAATGTTTGATTTATCAGTTTTAATCTACATAACACTTTAACTCTATGTGGCGATAGATAATAACACATGTTGCTGCTAGTGTACAGCCGGGCCTGAGCCTGTATGACTGTGCCGTCTGACCACATAGTCATAATACTTGATAAACAAGTTGAAATCCCTTAAAAAAATTGAGAGCTGAAAATTCAGAATTGGACAACAAAATCAGTTGTGAAAAAAAAATGGAGAGCATGAAATTTGTTTGGAGTAAAGAACATCACCTAGATTCCTTGAAGGGGCTGTTGTTAATTTGTTCTTCAAACTTACATAGTAAGGTAAACATACATAGTAAGGATATTTTTGCTTTGACCACCTCCCCACTAACTTGTAAAGATTTAAATCAAATATCTAATAGCAGTAAAAATCTTCCTTTAATATCAGTAAGCACTCCTTGATAAAATGTATGTGATATAACACTATGATTATTGGTTGCCAAATTTGTAAATTTATTACATGCCACAGATGGTCAACATTTATTATATTACATGTTTCATTATATAAATACAAATGTATGTATATCACTACATTAATGTTTTCACCAATTTGACCATAATTTTATCAAGATAAGTGTATAATAAAAAATCAAATTAGTATGCTTTCCTTTCTATCAAGAATTGAATTATTTCTTTTTAATTTTTCCTAAATATACTGAAGAGAAACGAGAGCTTCTGATGTACTATAAGAATTTAATCATTTGTTCACAAGGGTGATTTTTAAGTTATTTTACATAAAGATTAGGATTTTTATGTTCACTTAATCCATAATGAAATTCCTGGAAATTAATGCTTGATAATTATTACTAACTTGTGAAGAAAAATGCTGTTTAAACCTGTTTGTGCCATTTCTGTAATTGCCTTTGCTAATTTATATCGAGAATAAGAGGTTCATTTATTTTTGTTAAAAGTAATTTTAAAAGGGGAGATAATTTTGGTATACACAAGTGTATGTGTACCATTTTTAAGTATAAAAGGGAGATAATAAAGGTATGTTTTTAATTTTGGGAGTATAAAAGGGGAGATAATACTGATTCATGTATAGGTGACAAAATTTCATGTATTTTTGTAAAATATTTAATTGAACAGGATGTATGATTTTGTGAGCCGCACCATGACAAAACCAACATAGTGCGTTTGCGACCAGCATGGAACCAGACCAGCCTGCCCATCAACGCAGTCTGATCAGGATCAATGCTGTTGGCTTAAAAACTATAATACAAGTAGAGAAACTGATAGCGAACAGCATGAATCCTGATCAGGCTGCAGGGATGCGCAGGCTGGTCTGGATCCATGCTGGTTGCAAACGCACTATGTTGGTTTTGTCATGGTGCGGCTCAATGTTTAATTGAACAGGATGCATGATTATGTTATGTTTTGTTTTTATGTAGCCATGTATTCTGTAAATACTTGTACAGTGTATTAGTTTATTACTTTAAATCTGTTGTATTCTTAATGTACTGTTTTAAATGTATTTTTTAATAAAATGAAGAAAAAAAAATGTGATAAAAGAAGTAAAGTAACTTAAGAAACCAGGAATTGTTATGTTGTTTTTCACTTCAGAAGTTTATTCCCAATACAGACAGTATCATGTCAGGAGTTATATTTACAGCACACCAGCAGCTTTGTATAGTATAGAATTTGTCCTGCTTTGAACAGTCTATTCAATGTTTAAAATGATTCCGATATCAAAATGAAGGAGATAAGCTACAAACAGAATAGAGCCTTAGTAGTCTAGTTAAACTCATCGTCGGATACCCACAATTGATAAACATGTCACATAACATGCAATCAATGTTAATGGTTCGGCCGTGGGTATCCGACGACGAGTTAAACTGCACATAATTATGTTCAGGCCTATATACTGATCACTTTTAGCTCCAGCTGGTTCAGTGTTCAAACAGCAAACAACATAGCCTGCCTTCACCAATGTTATAGCTGACCTGGCACTAAACTGATGGTAGAAACTTCTGTTTCAACAGGTTAAGAGTTTACAGCCAAACAATAGCTAGAATTTGATTAAAGTAGCATTTTTCTGATAGATTTGTGTTTGTGGTTCAGTGATCATGTCAAGAGAAATTCATGGTAGTTTTGTTGGATGTTCAGTGGTCAAGTTAAGACAAATTTCATGGTACATGTGTTGGGAGGTTCAGTGGTCATGCAATGACAAATTCATGGCACATGTGTTGGGAGGTTCAGTGGTCATGCAATGACAAATTCATGGCACATGTGTTGGGAGGTTCAGTGGTCAAGTTAAGACAAAATTCATGGTACATGAGTTGGGAGGTTCAGTGGTCATGCAATGACAAATTCATATCTTTGGATCTATTACTTTTCTAAATATTGCCTCACATGCACAAATACTAGAGGTGATTAGCTAGAATGCTAATACTAATAGCATATTACACCATACATGTACCACCAAAACAGGCCTTGATGTTGGCAGCTCATCCTTGAAAATTGTACTATTTCAAATTCAAAAATAAACATGGATATAAATCTAGCAGTGGTATTCATTCCTGACCTGGTCTATTCTTGTATTTACAACGGGTTATTAATGGCCCCAGTCATGACCACATACATGTTTTACTATTTATATTATCAGTAACTACAATGACAGTGTTTGGAAGGAAATACTGTTTAAAATTGCTGTTTATGCTCTGATTGATGAATATCAATATGAAAACCTGTATTTCTGTGTAAATTGTGCATTGTCATTCAGTGTTCATCAAAGGAATCCATTACAAATATATTATCTGATATAATCCTCTGATGAGTTATTAAGGCTGTGATAGCAGAATGTGATAGATTTATATTGAACAAGACCTGTCCTAGGGTAAGTAGGCTCCACTTTTCTCGACTGTATAAAGAGATAAATTGAATCAAAGTTCACATTGACCTTTTGACTCAAAATTGATCATGGCAGGTAGAACTCGTCACGGTGCATTTACATGTAAAGTTCCTTGGTCACTTTGAACTTATGGCCACTTTAGTGTCCTGTGGATACAGGCCCCTGTGACTGACCTTTCCTTGCCACAGAGTGAGCTATTAGGATCAATGAATGCCTGTCGTTTGTCAACACTTAGTTTAATACTCTTTGGTCACATTTTTGACTTAGTTGTAACAAAAATTGGTCTGGATGTTTGTTCCAGTAATAACTCGTACAAGTTCAAATATACAGGTCATCAAAGATGAAAAACTAGGTCACATGACCCAAAAATAGAAAAAATCTTGTTGACAATATTGAGTAGAGGCTACTATTTCAGTCCAGATATACAAACTATATTCGTTTTAATATTGGTCATCTGATTATCACTGACTGACTGAGTTTAAAGTCATTTTGTAGGAAGACCTTGGATGCCTGTCTTGGATGCATTACTTCATAACCAGAATAGGACCACTGATGTTTTACATACTGACTGGATAGCTGCCTTGGAGTAAGGGTTATCAAAATGAGACAGTCAACAAAACTTAAATTAAAAGTTCATGCACATTTTTTCTCTTCAAAATATTTACGATATTCCAATTCTCAGTGACTAGAAATTTTATTGGCACAAAGTAATTACAACAAAAAACATCATGCATTGTTTTCTTTTTCATTTTTACAGCAACTTTTTAGGAACCTGTTCTACAGATATTAATCAACAAAACTATTATCATCATATTAAATTGTGTATATTTCACTGGTCACTTTCACACCACTTATGAATCTTTTTGTTTGTGAGATAACACAAGAGTTGCTGGCAAGACTATTCTAAATGCTTGACACTAAAACAAGAGCTTGGATAATGTAGAATCTTAGTTCAAAAAAGGGTTATAATTCCATCAAAATCCATGTTAGAGTTATGGCCCTTAAATAGAGACAACTTTTGCTCTAGTCAATTAAGTTTCAACCTTTTTCATTAAGTAGTTTTGGAGATATCAACTTGCACGCAAAATCTTAACCAAAGTGTGATAGCAAAGCCCTAGTGAATGCAATAGCTCTCCCTACTCTTCAAAAAGTTCAGCTTAAAATCGGTCTAAAAATACACTTAATCATGTTTAAAGTAACAAAGTTTTATTTTATTTTAAACTTAAAACAGAAAAAAATGTATCAATAATAAAACTCTTTTTCTATTTAATAACACATATTTCAATTAGTATGGTAATGGCACAAAACATTTAAAACCACTCTAACTTTAATTAAGATTACAAATAACAACTAGAGGCATGCACTTCTATAATATATGATGGGTAAAAGTCCCCACATAGAGGGCATTCTACTTGTATTACCCCTAGTCCACTATCACTGTTTACATTGTTCGTAGAAGTACGAGTAATACTTTCACGAACATTATTCGCTCTACTTGTGTCAGTTCTAACAATTACTGGCAGTACATCATTATCATCATCACTGTCATCCGAAAGTTCTATTGCACTAAATCTTGTCTTTGCTATACCAGTACTTTGCCTCCTATTTTTACTGTTTACCACAATTTTAGCTTGGCCTGAAGAAAAGTTCTCAGATCTATTATTTCTTATTTGCCTGCTTGGTGGGACAGTTTCTTGTAGAATTGACTGACTCTGACTGTATTGTGAATCATCATTGTTTGTCTGTGATTCATATTTATCTAACATATATTGTTGAGACTCAATCACCGGACTGGGAATACTAGATGATGAACTGACTGAGTTAAGAGAAAAATTCTGCCTATCTGTTACTGTAGTTGAGTATGTAGAACTATTACAACAGTTTGATGGTGAGTTAGAAAATGACTGATCACTGTTTGTAGAATTCCTCTGTTGGTGTAGACGTCTTTCAGCTGCTAAAAGCCATGGGGGTGACTTTATTTGCTCATTCTTTGACCCCTGACCTACTTCCTGACTGGTTCCCATCCTGCTACTTGTTCCTAGTTTGTGACCTGGACTGGTACTGAGTTTCGGATTGGATACTACGGTATTGTTTGGAGTTCTAGCTGATAACCATGGTGAATCACAGGAACTTGTTTTGTTTTTATTCTTCCATGTTGTACAAGTCTGTTGATGAATGGACAGCTGAGTTTCTCCAAAACATTCTGCAAGAGTTAATATATATACATGTATATGCTATTTAGTAGCAAAACATTGACTGTTACTAATTTCATGATTAAGTAACAAGCTTGTAACAACTCATATACTTATAAAGAAAAAGGAAAATCGTCAACACTATAATTACCCTCCTTCAATAAATAACAAACTCCCCAAACCTTGTTAAAGTAAAGGAACCATGACCTTGACTTAAACAAAGGCATAGTAAAAGCATCAAAAATCACTTTCTTTTTGTTCTCAGGATGGCCAATTATATTTCAACTAGAACTCCGCAAGTCGGATGTGTCACCTTGTGAACAATATAGTTTAGGAGAAATGGCCAGGACAAAAATGAAATATGAAAATTAACAAAGGGCAATAGCTCAAAAAATAAGAAGTGCAGAGCAGCAGTTTCTGTGCACTGCACTATCAATAAGATCTATCATCCTATGAAGTTTCAAGTCTAAAGCTTTTATACTTTAGGAGAAATGGCCTGGACAAAAATAAAGTATGTAAATTAACAAAGAGCAATAACTCAAAAAATAAGAAGTGCAGAGCAGCAGTTTCTGTGCACTGCACTTCTTATCAATAAGAACTATCATCCTATGAAGTTTCAAGTCCATAGCTTTTATACATTAGGAGAAATGGCCCGGACAAAAATAAAGTACTTAAATTAACAAAGAGCAATAACTCAAAAAATAAGAAGTGCAGAGCAGCAGTTTCTGTGCACTGCACTTCTTATCAATAAGAACTATCATCCTATGAAGTTTCAAGTCCATAGCTTTTATACATTAGGAGAAATGGCCCGGACAAAAATAAAGTATGAAAATTAAGGAAGGGCAATAACTCAAAAATTAAGAAGTGCAGAGTACTGGTTCTTGTGCACTTCACTTCGGGTCATTATAAGAAGCATGCATACCAAGTTTGAAGTCAATCTGACTTATAACAACTGACTTATGCTCCAGACAAGCTTCAGGGGATGCTGACCCCGCCGACAAAAGTAACCCCTATATTCGACACAAAAAGCATCCATGAATGATGCTCTATGAGGCTGCTAACCTGGCTCTTGTATACAGTTTGTTGTCTTAGTATTTATGGATATTCTCACAATCCATCCATGAATAAAAAACAAAGTAATGAACACAAAAGGATCATCTATTCACAATCATGACTTTTGAAATACATGAGTTACCTTAACCTTGAAGGTGGACACCTAATTCTTGTTGACAAGGCCATCATCAAAGCTCTTTTATGAAGAATTCATACAAGGATTGCAGTTGCACTTGTGAATTCAAATGCACTGTATTCTTGATTTTGAATGCAACACACTGTATTGTACTGACACATTTATGCAAAATTATTTCAAAATCCACCATTACGGACCAGACAGACACATGAAACATTAAAAAACTATTTGGCACCCTTTTGGCCATAAAAACACAGTTATTTTTAACATTCTGACTATACTGTACAGACGTGTTTCTTACGAAATATCATAGGTCAGTGACATTTTTATATTTGCAATTGACAGATTTGATGTTTTATCAACTGACAAATGCAGCAAGCTTACACTACTGTTAATTGAGGACATCACCTAAGATCAATAGTTTTCTGCAATTTTATGTACATATAATAATGTGTGTGTATTACAACTAAATGGTTACCAAAGTAAAGCCTAAATGTGTACAATAGGCTTGGAAGATTGTTAATTGTTGACAAGGTGAATACATCAAAGAAGAATATTCATGGAAATTCAAAAACCTATTATCTAAGTTTTGGTTTCGTTGTTTTTAAGCAGGAATTACAATGTAATATAATTATCATTCAAGTAAGACAAAAAGACATTAAGTTACAAAGTGGTAGGACCTCTTCATTTTACACAATGTCAAAGGGAGAGAAATCTAACAAACACAAATTGAGATTTTTTGAAGTTACTTCCCTGTTAAAAAACCTAAAATTTAAAAACTTGGAAAATTTGAATAAATTCGTTCCCCTATGCAAGATAACAGCATGATTCAAAGTTAATCTAAAACCTGCTTTAATCACATATTCATTGCAAGAGACCCTCATGTAATTTTGGTATGTTAATTTTGGTATGTTCTAAACTTCCAATTTTCATTGGTTTATACCTCTACAACTCACAACAATCCTCATGATATATACATACCATTACATCCTTCACATCTGATAAAACTTGTTAGTCTAACCTCCAAACTGGCTGTGTTAGTTCTGAAAAAATAAATGTTTGTCTTATTCTTTAAACACAGATACTTGCTAGTGAAGAAGAAATGTGAAATTCCAACCAAGATTTAACAAGTTATTATGGCATCAAAATCATTCTATAAGCAGATGTGAATGACAAAGCATTAGAAAACAAATATACTTCTGCAAGTTTAATATTTACAGCACTTCAGTTATTCAATAGATATCTCTTTAACCTTAAGATGTGACTTGTACAAAACTTCTGCATTAGTTAGAAAAGTTATACAGGCAGTAAGCCACAATGAGTTTACCAGAGTATGGTTCAGCTACAACATTGTTCCTGGGCAGGCTGTCAAGCAGTTTACCAGTACCAATTGCCTTCACTTCCACAAGGAACTGATGTTACTTCTGTACATGCCAAAGCAGAGGTACAGTGGGAATGACCGTAGAAATGACTTTATGATGAACCACAATTAAATTTCATGATTAATTACAACGAAAGTGACCTGCACCTTCCGGAATCGAACCAGGATTGCCCGATCCACAGTCCAACGCTCTACCAATTGAGCTAACCGAACCAGAATTGTAATAATGAATATCAACATTTCAGAGGGGATTACCTTTTAGATTTGTTCATGCCACTGCCATCTGATGTGACATCAAAACTTGCCATAGTCTTAGACTTCAATGCTGCACATCTTCGTTCATGGGCACTTAATAAAGCATCACCAAAATAATCTGAAGTAAAGACAATATCATATCTAGCCTATCTGTGTTTGTACTGTATGTAGGATTATAGTTTATGGTACCATATATGGCCACATTCCAGCTTTACTTGTTGGAGCAGATCTCAATATCCCAACCAATGTTCAAGCTAGTACCTGGGTCAAATCACCAATCTTCAATTACCTAGCTAAACAGCTTCCATACAAGACATAATTTAAAAGTCCTATACAGGATTCAAACCAACATTGGTTAAAGGCAAAACATTCAAAGTGAGTGATTAAGATAATATAAACATGAATATCCTGTTTAAATAGATGTTATCTGGAACTCCGCAATTGTAGGTTTTCCCCCAACAAATCCGTAGGTACAAACTTTAACCGTTATAGCTTCACAGTGCACTACTTGTCATGAGAAGAATAAGAAATAAAATGATAAATAATGGCCATTATTTGGCACTACAGCCCCTGATAAGACTGTCCTAACCACAGCACTGTGAACATGAGACAATATGCACTTCAAGTCCAAAGGCACATAACTGTCACAGATCAGTAAATTGTAACCATGTTTGTTCACTAATGTCCTTGTATTATATTCAAGTACAATAAACATGTTTTCCACAAGTAAATATCAACATCTCCTCATAAATCTGAATAAATGGCATGAGACAATGCTTTGTCAATGAAATCATCAACATAAAAATATTAACCACTGGACTCAAATACTGATGGTAAGATAAGAATTTAATACAGCAGGCATGAGTTAAACAAAACCCTACCTCCACAGCCTGTACATTTGGTAAACCCTCTAGGTGTAGGCATCTCCTCATGTGTAACACTCACATCAGCCTGCATTACTGGTTTCCTTCAAACAAGTAACAAAGTTGTATGCATGTTTTTCGTAACTTAAAAATCATTTACCGAAAAAATAGCTAAAAGTTCTGCACCACAAAATATGGGAATAAAGTTTTATGTACTATATAATAAGCAAACAAACTACCACCTTACATTTTTTTTTCTTTTAACACTAAAGTTAACAATGACAATCTTTCTTTGTATTGTGTGTAATCTGGTGAGAGGAAGAAGATGAATTAGACCAAACAACTTATAAATAGGTTTAAACATATTATAACCTGGTTTCCTTGACTTCCTGTATCATTTTTTGGACAGGAACAACATCTGATTTCTAATTATATTGAATTTTGTAATAATTATAACATAAATGCACCTTGTTTGCACACCTCCCCTATCCTTCTTTTTGCCCCTACCTCTTCCTCTACCTCGACGACCTGTCTGAGGACTACAAATATCTGATGAAAGGTCAAGGTCATCTATGGAGCTAGTACTGACAGGAGTGCTGGTACGTTTACCTCTACCCCTTCCTGAAATATTGAAGCTATCTAATGATTTTATATCTACCAGTTAAAGCAGCATGCCTCAAGATTCCTGCTAATATTCATGAAGATTTGGAAAATGTATTAAAAAGGAAAATACAAAATGTATTGTAAAGTGAACAAAGCAAATAATCTACACATTGCAAATGGCATTAACAAACATGTGTAAATTACCAAAAAGGTGCCAAAATATGCAAAAATTGCACTTTTTACTTAACTTACGCAGTAGAAATATTGTGAAAAATACTACAAAGTTGGTCATCAATTGCACATTGTATGGAAATTATTACTTATTTTTTTACTTAAAATTCAGTATATTTTTCTGAAGTTGCTTTTCTTTAAAAAATTTTGCTCATCTGGAGGCATGCAGCTTTAAAATTGAGGTTACAAACTTACAAGCACCAAGAAAATGGTTAAACAGACTATGACAACTTTTCAGTTAAACTATGGAGGAAAACAAGGGTATGAAGGTTTAACAAACTCTTTGGAGATATCTAAAGGGTAAAAAGGAATAAAATTTAGAAAGTTTACACATAGACTGGCGGCAGGGACTATATCTACCCATACAACCAGTGCAAACCAAGATCAGCTGGCACGTCTGTGCTACCTGCTCATGGTCTGCACTGTTCACTATGGATTGACAGATAGACAAGACCATTTACAATATTTAGCAGGCTATGGGTTAAAATTCCTATAAGAAAGCAAGTGAACATTTTTGTTACCTCTTCCTCGACCTCTGCCACGTCCACGACCTCTACGACCCTTTGAGACATTGACCTCAATATCTGTATTTAACCAACTGTCATCATCAGAACTGTCAGATCCAAAATTTACTTTGGCAACTGGTGAACATTTGTCCATGGAAGACAAGAAATCTGTTGTACTATTTTCAACAGACAAGGAATCTTTTCTAGAACATGAAACATCTAGAATATTATCAAATGTTATAACAGAAGAAACTGGGTCTTGTGACAATTGTGAATCTATATCGGATTCCCGTCCTCTAAGACCTTTGTACTGGAAAGGGGTACCAGGCGATGAGACACAGTCTCCTATTGGTCCAGACTGCTTTGCCTTCTTCAGTTGTCCAATCAGATCTTTCTTTTCACCAACTGACTGGTTCTCATTAGATTTTAATTTCTGCATCACAGTAAGTGGACTATTTTTTTCTGTAACAATCTTCTTACTCGGTGGAGTGTTATTTACAGCATCTAATTTTCTTTTAACACCAGGTTTTTTAGCTTCTGTTAGCTTCTTTAAATTGTTCTCATTATTTTTTGTGACATCTGTGTTTTCCTTTTTGTCACAGTTTTTATCCCTGACACAAGTTGGGGGTAGCTTTTCCTTTCTTTCAGTATCAACAGTTTTGTTTGTTTTGTCATTAAAAGCTGATGTCAAATATTCTGTAGCTTTCTGAATGAAAATTTTCTTTTCATCTTTGGTCAGCTTCCGACGTTTCTTTCTTTCAAATTTATGTCTTACATCTGAAAATATTACAACTCACTATCAAAACAAGAACATACTTTCTGCAACCTTCAAATCCAATCTTTAATAACAATCCAACTTGATCACACAACAATGTTTTATGCAATGAACAACAACTTTTAGATTCTCCATTATCATACTTCCATATATCTTTTCCAATCCCATATTTTTCAATATGGCTTTTGTAACTATTGAACAGGGAGCTCAAGTTTAAATTGTGTTTACTCGTCTATTTTCTTAAGTCTTTAATTTTTATTAAAGAAATTTTTCAAAAAGGATAAGGCACACATATTACACTTAAATAATGTTAAGAAAACAATGCTCAACATTACTATACAACCACTTACATATAATTAATTATCTAAGAAATAAACAACCCTACCTGCCATTGTTATGGTATCAAACTCTTTCGGGTCTATCACTAATTGCTTTAAAAACTCGTCAACTTCTTCCTCAAACTATAATCAAGACAAAGAGGTAAGTCTTTACAATGTTAAAATTATATAATGGATTTTACTGCTTTAAATTTTAAAACTATCAATCCTTCTGTAGGGTTTCAATATACCAAGAAGACATTAATGGCCATAGATTGCTCACCTGAGAACCAATGATTGATTAACAGGTCATAATCCTTCAATGCTGTTGTTAAATGAAATAGCAGATAACTACAAACAACTTGACATCACAAAAGCTCACATCTGAGAACTTGGTGGTCAGATGAGCTAAAATAGCTAGAACTACTTAGCCAACAATAAGTAGTGTGGTATGACCACTGAAATATGACCCCTGAATAACACAAGTCACATGGGCATATCATTAACACTGCTAGCTTTACCTGTTAAAAATTGTATTCATAGTTATTTGTTGAAATAAAATATCTGCATATGTTGCTTGTTTTTTCTACATTGTAAATAAATATATATATGAATAAACTGACACTACACTGAGATATAAAAATCAACTGTTCTAGGGCCATAACTAAGATATAGACATAGCTATATAACTGTTAGAACTCTTGTGCTCATGGGAACTAAAACGGTATAAACTTTCAATGCAAAAAAAAACAACATACAGTACAAGAACAAACCTGTGGGCCATATTTTTGTTCTACCCTACTGGAGTACAAGCTCGACTTTTCCTGGTTAGGTACAGGACTCTGCACGTTATATGACTTAGTTTTGTTTCCTGAAGCAGCAAGTACAAGTTTGGCAGTACGAGACAGAGAGTCACCGTGTTCCATACCATTCTCAGAACTAGCAGCTATCTTCAGTAATCTGGACTTCAGTTGACCATTTGACTTGTTCAATCTGTGAATAGAAAAACATCTAAATAATATTTAGTGAAGAGAAACACTTTTCAAGGGCTGGTATTTCTCTTTTTTTCTCACTTAAGTTATTTTGATAAGAAAAAACAAGATTGCATTTGAGAAAAATGCTATGCCACCGCATTAATACAACACTAAATAGTAGTGTAGGAACAGATTTTTTTTGCTTCTATACAATTTTGAAGATTGTCATAATGCATAGATCCCTGACCTATCTAATTCTTATTATCAGATTAGCGGTTAAATCTGTTGTTAACTCAATAAAAGATCAGAGTAGGAATATATCAATGCACTCGAGTCTAGTGAATTTGGTGGTGAAGGTCATATTTCACACAATCTAAATTTCATGACTACATCAAAGGACAACAAAGTAAGACACTTTGTCAAAATCTAGGTCAAGAGATTGAAGATTTTTCAAGTTTTTACATTATACATATAAGGAAAACTATCGCCTCTGAGTCAGGGCAATTTTAACACTAGGGGCATAATCAAAACAACTTTAGTAGAGGACCCATAGATGATATTACATACCAAATATCATAGCTCTAAGCCTTGTACCTTCAGACAGAAAGATTTTTTGATTTTTTACTAAATGTACATATAGTGAAAATCAATGACCCCGGGGCGGGGGCAATTTTGACCCCAGGGCTGTAATTTGAACAGTCTTGCTAGAAGTTCACTTCACAATGTTTCATGCAAAATATCTTACTTCTAGCATTTGTCAATTGCTAGAAGATATTTTTTTTAACTTTTTACTATAAGCTTTTACTATACCCATATAAGGAAAACCAATGACCCCAGGGGCGGGGCCGATTTTGACCACAGGGCTATAATTTGAACAATCTTAGTAAGGGTCTACCAGACAATGCCTGATGCAAAATATCTAAGCTCTAGGCATTTTAGGTCTTTACAAGAAGGTATTTTAAGTTTTTACTATATGTACATATAGTGAAAATCAATGACCCCCGGGGGGGGGGGCCGATTTTGACCCCAAGGCTATAATTTGAACAATCTTAGTAAGGGTCTACCAGACAATGCCTTATGCAACATGTCTAAGCTCTAGGCGTTTTAGGTCTTTACAAGAAGGTATTTTAAGTTTTTACTATATGTACATATAGTGAAAATCAATGACCCCCGGGGCGGGCCGATTTGGACCCCAGGGCTATAATTTGAACAATCTTATTAAGGGTCTACCAGACAATGCCTTATGCAAAATATCTAAGCTCTAGGTGTTTTAGGTCTTTACAAGAAGGTATTGTAAGTTTTTACTATAGGTACATATCCTTTCGACGGCAATAGCGTAATAAAACGTACCGAAAAATCGACTTCTCAAAAGCCGGGCACTATAGTCATAAGAAGGCTATAACGTAATAAACCGGTATAAAATTTTAGCTTCCTGAAAGCCACTACTGTTTGTCGTAGGAAGGCCAACAAAATTTAGTTTTAAATTACTAAATTCTTGAAGTTTACCTTTCATTTATTTCATTCTGTTAAATGTTGTTCAAATAACAAGAGGGCCATGATGGCCCTGAGGTCGCTCACCTGTATATAGCCCCCCCCCCCCCCCCCCCCCCCGCCCGGGCCAATTTTTACCCAAGGGCTTTTATTTGAACAGACTTGGTAGACACCCATAAGAAGATGTTTCATGCTAAACATCTAAGTTCTAGCTCATTGGGTTTTTTAAAAGAAGATTTTTAAGTTTTTACTATACACATATAGTTAAAAAACAATGACACCCCTGGGGCAGGGCCAGTTTTGACCCCGGGCTTTTATTTGAACAAACTTTGTAGATGTTTACTTAAAGATGTTTCATGTATAATATCTAAACTCAAGCTATTTGGGTTTTTTCAAAGAAGATTTTTAAGTTTTTGCTATACACATATAAGGAAAATCAATGACCCCCGGGGCAGGGCCAGTTTTGACCCCAGGGCTTTTATTTGAACATACTTGGTAGACACCCATTAGAACATGTTTCATGCTAAATATCTTAGCTCTAGCTCTTTGATTTCTTTAAAAGATTTTTTAAGTTTTTACTATATGCATATAGGGAAAATCAATGACCCCCTTGGGCGGGGCCAATTTTGACCCCAGGGCTTTTATTTGAACAAACTTGGTAGACACTCATTAGAAGATGTTTCATGCTAAATATCTTAGCTCTACCTCTTTGGGTTCTTTAAAAGAAGATTTTTTAAGTTTTTACTATATGCATATAGGGAAAATCTATGACCCCCTGGGACGGGGCCAATTTTTGACCCCAGGGCTTTTATTTGAACAAACTTGGTAGACATTCACTAGAAGATGTTTCATGCTAAATATCTAAGCTCTAGCTCTTACGGTTCTTTAAAAGAAGATTTTTTAAGTTTTTACTATATGCATATAGGGAAAATCAATGACCCCCTGGGGCAGGGCCAATTTTGACCCCAGGGCTTTTATTTGAACAAACTTGGTAGAGCACTCACTAGAAGATATTTCATGTCAAATATCTTAGCTCTAGCTCTTTGGGTTCTTTAAAAGAAGATTTTTTAAGTTTTTACTATATGCATATCGGGAAAAATCGATGACCCCCTGGGGCAGGGCCAATTTTGACCTCAGGGCTTTTATTTGAACAAACTTGGTAGACACTCACTAGAAAGATGTTTCATGCCAAATATCTTAGCTCTAGCTCTTTGGGTTTCTTTAAAAGAAGATTTTTTAAGTTTTTACTATATGCATATAGGGAAAATCAATGACCCCTGGGGCGGGGCCAATTTTGACCCTAGGGCTTTTATTTGAACAAACTTGGTAGACACTCATTAGAAGATGTTTCATGCCAAATATCTAAGCTCTAGCTCTTACGGTTCTTTAAAAGAAGATATTTAAAGATTTTTTCTTCGGTTGCCATGGCAACCAGAGTTCTGCATGAAATGGAATTCTTTGAACAATCTTGATAGAGCTTCATACAAAGAGTATTCCTGCCACGTTTCATTAACATTGGCCTTGCGGTATCATAGAAGATGTCCTTAGAATATTTAAAATGTGGACGGACGACAGACGACGGACGCCATTTGGTTGGCCATCCTAAAAGCTCACCTGCACTTTGTGCAAGGTGAGCTAAAAACACCAAATATGTTAATTGTATAGTGCCCTTTATTGACAGATATAGTAAATGTTTAGATATACAGTACACTTTTTGATTAATTCAAGTCAAGTCAAGTCAAAAGATTTATTCAGTAAATAAAGGCCACCGGCCCAAAATACATGTCATACAAAATATGATATTTAACATTATAAGGTTGTGTCTTTTACAAGTTTTGACAATCATTACATTTAAATGCTACTGTGCTATAGATATCATGAGGTGGTAAATATAAGTAGAGATTTTCTTAATTATAAAAATATCAGTTGATGAGAGTAATTCATAAAAGTTATGTAATTCATTTCCGGAATTATACCAGTTTAGTAAATAGGTATTTCTAATTTCTAAATATTTTTTACAATGAAAAAAAGCATGATATTCACAGTCAATATGATAAGTTAAATGATTTTCAAGACAAAAGTTGCAAAAGCGTTCTTGAAAAGGTATATTTAAATGCCTACCGATTTCAACATTAAGTTTGTGATTTGAACATCGAAATTTAGCATATGCTTTCTTATGTTTTACAGGGATTTCTATAAGAAGATACCGTTCTACATTTAATAAGCTTTTAAAATAACAATAATGGTGACATCTACTGGCATTGTTAATATTATCATGCCAATTTTGAGTATAACAATCTATTATGCGTTGTTTAAAAATGCTAACAAAAATATTCACATCTCCTATTTCTTGAGAAATCCAAATGTAACCAAATCCGTAACTGTATAAAAGTATTCGTATTTTGCTAGCCCAACAAGTTCTTCCAGCTTCATCTAGTGATTTTAACATTAAATAACATTGTTTTGGGTAACGATATGGTGGCATAACTAATAGCTTACACCAATAACGGATGCAATTTGTATAATAAGTAATACAAAGTGGGAGTCTACCACATTCACCTAACACCATGCTTGTGTTTTGTATTTTTTTCGAACATTTAATAAACCCTTACAGAACATATTATGAACAGATTCTATAGTTGGACTAAATTCATACCCCCAGATCTGTGATCCATAACAAAGAAATAGGTTTGATCATTGTATCAAAAATTTTAAAGTGTTCCTTTATGGGAAAATTACCAAATGGTTTTTCATAACCTTTGATAGCAAAAATTGCTCTTTGAGCTTGCGAAGCTAGTTTATCATGAGCTACATTCCATGATAGTTGTGGAGTGAATAACAAACCCATATATTTATAAACAGCAGTTGTATTTACAGGCTGACCGCGAAAAGACCAAGATTCATAATTACGAAGACGACCTCCATTTCGAAATACAATTATCTCTGTTTTATCAAGATTAATTTCCATGCCTGTGTTCAAGCAAAATTGATCAATTACATTAAGTTGTTGTTGTAATTTTGTAGCAGTTTCAGCACAATTTGCAACATCATCTGCAAACATTAAACAAAGAATATCAGGAATATCATTTGTAATGAAAATGCCTGTGCCACATTTCTCTCTTAAAAGGGAAGATAACTCGTCTATAAATAATGTAAAATTGTCGAACTTGTCTTATCACCTTGCCTTGTACCAATGTTACAGGGAAATAATTCCAGTAATCATAACATTGTTAAACAAATCAGTTGTTTTAACACATGAAGAGAGATGAAAATACATTGATTTCAAAACTCGAAGAAAAATTTCCAAAAACGCCCTTCTTTTCAAGTGACAAGAAAAGTTTAGCAATGATTCACTTTATCAAATGCTTTACGGAAATCAACATAGAGACAGTAAAAGCGGCCACCCTTTTTAGAAAGATATTTTTGAACCATTGCTTTGTAGACAAAAAACATTATCGATAGCCGAGTAACCATGCCTAAATCCTGCCTGAGATTCATCGATTTTCTTTGATTTTCGGCCCAATCGTATAATCTTTTATTTATAATACCTGTAAAGACTTTATATAATGTATTTGTAATAGATATGCCGCGATAATTACCAGGATTATTACTTGGCCCTGATTTATGAATTGGTGTAATCATGCTATTTCTCCAAGATATTGGAAATTGCCTGTTTCGAGTATTTTGTTAAATAGTGTATGCGAGAATAGGCGCTATTTTCATCTGATGTATGTTTATAAAATTCGGAAGGTATGCCATCTGGGCCACAACTTTTATTATTAACTAATTTAGATATAGAATGTTTAATTTCTAGCAAAGTGAATGGTTCATTTAATGTCTGAGCTGTTTCATCGGCGGAATCATGTTCGTTTCCAATACTGTATTCCTAGAAATGTTTGCGGATACAATATTTCGCGTTTTTCACAACGTCGGCATTTTCGCGGAGACAAACTTTCGCGGAAATGTAGTAACCGCGAATTCCGCGAATGTTAAGTCGCTACGGCCTAAATTAAGTTTTTGGAGGCTACGTTTTTTATACATGACCTTGCCTGTTGGGTGCTTTTAATTATTTTTTTCTTGACAAGTCGCGCCTAAAGCGCAACGTTACTCGATACATTTTCATCTATTGACTAGTCGAACAAGGTCGGTTGTTCCGTGAACAAATTAATATTTCCATACCTTTTTCATTATGTTATTAAGTATGATTTAGTCAGACCCGTTAGCTTTGATTCTCATTTGAATCATAACTGACTTTATCTTCAAAATGTCGATACGTATTTTTTTTACACATTTTTACACATTATCGGACTGTATATAGCTTTCATTATAACAACTGTTTATCAATGTAGCCCTTGATCGCTATTGTACTTTTAACAAAGGATTACACCTACTCCAAGCAAATAAAATCCAAGTCATTCAATGTTTGCAAACTGTAAATGCGTTTGTCAACGCCGTGACTAGCAAATAACGTCAATAAGCATGTTAATTACTAATAATAATAACTAATAATTGATTTTTTTCTTTTTCAGCGTGCAAACTAGTATCAATAACATACATAAATAATTCTTTACACATTTCTATAACACCTGTGTTTATATGTTGTTTTGTGTAAGTAGATTATAAGTTATATTCTGCACTTTTTATGATATATTTAGTTGCAGCTAGAAAAGTTCGCGGATTTGTTATAAGTGACATATTCGCGGCTATAAAGATTCGCGGAATCTTGCCTACCGCGAAAACCGCTAACTTAAAATGCGCGAAATCTTTTCTAGGAATACAGTATAAGGATCAACAAGCACTGAATTTTCGTCATACAACAAATCTTTAAAATAATTGAACCATTCTGTACAAGAAATACTAGGATCAGACCTAGTAACAGTTTTGCCCTTCTTCACTAATTTCCAAAAAGAACTTGGGTTGTTACTGTTTGATACTAGTTCTAATCGATTAGATTTCTGATATTCAGATATTCGTACATTACAATAGTCTTTAAACCTATTTCGTTTATCTTTATATATTCGTAAGTCAGACGAGGAATTACTTAATCTAAATGTGCGTAGCGCCGCGTATTTGTTTGCTTTTAACTCATTACATGTGTTATCCCACCACGGAGGTTGAGACGAATGAAAACAAAATTTCTTAAGCATGCATTTTCCAGCATCTTTATAAATAGAAGTAATACAGTCGACCGCAGAATTGACAGAGTTATCAACTGATTCCATTATCATCGTGTAATGGTTATGAAACAATTCCCTAAATTTTTGCAAGAAATCTGTACCTGCAGACACACGCCATTTATATCTATCAAAAGTGTTCAATGATATTTGAGCAGTTTGGTTATCTGCGTTGTTAGACTTTTTATGGAACACAAAAGTACAACATATAGGAAAATGATCAGATTCATCTCTGGTAAGAACCTCAAAATCTTTAATGTATGAAAATAGAGAAGAAGATGCGATCATAAAATCAACAACACTCGATCCATCATTTGAGAAGCAAGTAAATTCACCGTTTTTATCGCTTGGAAAACGACCATTAAGTATATGAATATCAAAATACAGCATAAGTTTACTAAACATTTACCATAATTATTGCCACGTATATTATCCTTACTATGACGTACAATATCAAAAGTACTACCATTATAGTCAGTATTACCAAAAATAAAATTTAAATTATCACATGGGATAAAAGTCTAAAAAAATTTTTACATCGACTATTAAGGTCACCTGACAAAAATAACATGGTGTCCGGGTATTCATATGTAATTTGTTCAAAATGACTAAACATTTCATTTGATACCGTTTTTATCGTCTCTATCATTATAGTAAGAACTTCCCTCAGGACTTATATATGTGAAAATACATGATAATGTCATTACAATCAAATATTTTTGAAAAATTACAGTATAGTACAACACAGTTCTCAAAATGATCAAAGATTTGTCTTATTGATATAAGTTTATGAATAGTACTTTTCACGAAAACACTAATTCCACCATTGTTCCTCAATGCATTATCTTTCATTTTCCTAACAAAGTCAAAATGCACATATGAATTTACAAAATGAGGTACCCTGTTGAGTAAAACGTCCACAACGTTTTAAAACGTAATTATTGAAAATCAATGAAAATCAATTTTTCTCAGGAAGGGTGATTGATACTATGCTTTTCAACGTGAATTTAGTAAGTTCAACTTATTTTTGTTTCAAATAAGAGAACTGCTTACAGAAACTCTGTTTGATGTATGAATAAATGCATTTTAAAATACTATACCATTTAGAAGATTTTCTTCATTTAATTTTGATATCGATTTGATTACCTCATTAATCAAAAAGTGTACTGTATATCTAAACATTTACTAATATATATCTGTCAATAAAGGGCACTATACAATTAACATATTTGGTGTTTTTATTTGAACAACATTTAACAGAATGAAATAAATGAAAGGTAAACTTCAAGAATTTAGTCATTTAAAACTAAATTTTGTTGGCCTTCCTACGACAAAACAGTAGTGGCTTTCAGGAAGCTAAAATTTTATACCGGTTTATTACGTTATAGCCTTCTTATGACTATAGCGCCCGGCTTTTGAGAAGTCGATTTTTCGGTACGTTTTATTACGCTATGGCCGTCGAAAGGATATCGGTAAATAACGTAAAATTTACCGTTTTAAAACGTTCAGAACTTGTTTTGAAAAACAAGGAATGTGAGTCTGTTTATTGCAGTTGAACGTAATATTAACAGTGTTATACGGTATGGCTTTGTTGTTTATCGCATCCAGTTGAACATAGCGTAATATTTTGATTTTTCATAAACACATTAAAAAACCAGAATGTACGAAAACGAGGTTTTTACGGGTTTGCATGACACAAAATTCAAGTTTTACGCTGATTTACGCTACGGTTTCTAGAAAGGTATATTTTTGATACGTTTAACTACGCTATGGACGTCTGTCGTAAAATAAGACTGGCTTTCAGAAATGTAAAAATTCGATACGTTTTCTTACGCTTTGGCCGTCCTACGGTAATAGCGGATGGCCGTCGAAAGGATATAGTGAAAATCAATGACCCCCAGGGCAGGGCCGATTTTGACCCCAGGGCTATAATTTGAACAATCTTGATAGCGGTCTACCAGACAATGCCTTATGCAAAATATCTAAGCTCTAGGCTTTTTGGGTCTTTACAAGAAGATTTTTTAAATTTATTCTTATAATTCCTTTTGGTTGCCATGGCAACCAGATTTCTGCATGGAATGAAATTCTTTGAACAACTTTGGAAGCCCTTCACCCAAGGATCAATCCTTCCAAGTTTGGTTGAAATTGGACTAGTGGTTTTTCACAAGAAGATTTTTTAAGTTCACTATATAATCTATTTAACACACACACACAAACAAACACACAGGTGAATCGCTATATGCCACCGCATCGCAGATGCTGCAGTGGCATAAAAACAACTCAGTTTTAGATGTTTTGTAATGTTAACCAATATTGTATTTTAGTGCCTTTATTGAAGATATGAGCTTATATATATGTATATTTTTGTTTTTTTCTTGAAATTTCAGTATATGTACACAATTGTATAGCAAAACCAAACCCTCTTGGAAAAATCAAAATTTGATCCTATACTTTAATTTAGCCTGCTTACTGTTTTGTGCTGCTGTTTGTTTTATTCCGAGACTTTATTGTCATAGAAATTATCAACCTAAAGTCCAGTCTGGTTAGGCTACACAGAAGATCAGTCGGACAAAGTGACTTTTCACCTTATATAACAGAGAAATGGTCTCTTCCCAATCAAAATTTTTAAAATCATGCAGTTTTCCCAAAAATCTGAACTTGTATCAGCTTTTTTTAATTCTAAATTAGCAATTTTTTTCAATATTTCCCCCCAAAATCAAGAAGATAAGGCCTCTTCCCAATTAAGTGAGAAAGAACACTGCCTGCATGTATACTGGCTGTGTCGGGCATAACATGTAATTATCTCCACTTGCCCTCAAAGTTCTTACCCATTATCAAGCTTCTGCATAAAATGCTTCTGTATATCTTTAACAGTTGTAGATGTAGACACAGAAGGCATATTTTCTTTTTTCTCCACATGTGTTGAATTTATTGTTGTCAATGATGTTTTCACACGTAGGAATGACAGTCCGAATTGTGTAAGCTTCTTGTAAGGTTGACGGCAGATTACTTTAATACGATCCCATTCTTTCTTAGCAATATCCGGGCAGAATAGATCTATATCAATGACAAACAACATACATTTCAAAATTTTTTCACTTTATTGTTTATTTACTGACACCTTGTTCTATTTCATACTTTTTTTTGAGTTTTATGACCACCATTCAATAAAAAGTAAATTGTGGTTAAACACTTAATGCTCTATGTTGGCCATGATAATCTTACATATTATAAATCAATGAATCCTTCAATAACAATGACATACATGCCATATTTCCAGCCACCCAGATAGGGGGATTTGGCTTTAAAAAGCAGGGCTGCGTTTCATGGAGAGTCCTAAGTTAATCCTAAATCCTAGGACTTATGACCAACTTTAGGAGAAAAAGTTTTTGCACTAAAGACAGTTTCAAGTAACTGTCCTATCTTTTGTCTTAAACTTAAGACTTATGACCAATTCGCTCTCCTGAAAAAAGTTACAAAATACAATGGCACGCGCATAATCCCGGATTGGATTTACTATGTAATTGATAATATCAAGTATAAAAAGTAATGTATTGCCCTCTTATCCTGTTGAGTGAAAATATATACCACATTTCAAGAAAAACGATAAAATAACCGTTTTATTTAATTTCATAGTAAAAAAATGGTTACGATGTACAGCGCGCAGTAATATGATTATTTATAGATGCGTCTTGTTTTGCACGCGATATTTGGCGCTACATTGTGACGTCATGTTAACAACTCTTTAAACGTCTGTACAGCGTTAATGACTGAATTAAAGATATTGGTGTTCGGATTTATTTTCTTAGTTAGACCATTATCTATCATTCTAGATAGTTTTCAAAACAAAATTCAACAAAAAATTGTTAGATTTTTGAGTGGTTTAACTTAGGACAATCTTAAGATACCTTTAAAACACTCCTAGACTTAGGACTGTTTTTGGTCATAAATTTAGGAGTCCTAAGTTAGGACCTTTTTTAAGACTTTCTTTGAAACGCAAAATTGTCACAATTTTTGACTTAAGACAAACTTAAGACTTAGGACTCTCCATGAAACGCAGCCCAGGAGATTTGGACCAAAAGTAGGGGGATTTTTAAGCAAGCACAAACCAGTCGTAATCTTAAAACGATGCAAACATTTAATTAAATTTCCCCCATTTTATTATGAAAATGAACATTTCTACAAGATCATTTGATATTTTCAAGTTTTAACATACATGACTGTGAAAGAATAATATGTAAACAATTGCAAATAAACATAGACCTGGGCTGCGTTTCATGGAGAGTCCTAAGTTATTCCTAAATCCTAGGACTTATGACCAACTTTAGGATAAAATGTTTTTGCACTTAAGATCGTTTCAAGTAATTGTCCTATCTTTTCTCTTAAACTTAAGACTTATAGACCAATTCGCTCTCCTGAAAAAAATTACAAAATACAATGGCACGCGCATAATCCCAGATTGGATTTACTGTGTAATTGATTATAGCAAGTATAAAAAGTAATGTATTGCCCTCTTATCATGTTGAGTGAAAATATATGCCATATTTCACAAAAAACGATACAATAACCGTTTTATTTAATTTCATAGTAAAAAAGTGTTTACGAACCCCCTTGCTTGCTACGCAACTGCAATTGTACCAATCTCCTACGCAGTGATCTCCCCTTATCAGTACATAGATCTCTGCCATCACAAACATTGAAATATCAATATTTGGATATTTATATTTATTAGGTTTTTAATTTATTTTTCATTATTTTGTATACTTCTGATAATTGTTTGATAAAATATAACGGACATAGGTACAAAAAGTTAAAAATAAAACAGAAAGAGAAAAATGACGTAAGATTTTCTATGTAACGGTCGATGTTTACATTTGAATTTCAACGTTACGTCATGTGACTTTCATTATCATGTGACGTCTGTGAAGGCAGTGGTTACAATTCTGCCAAGGAAGGTAATCAGTGTGAGGAGTTTGCAATTGTACAGCGCGCAGTAATATTATTATTTTAAGATGCGTCTTGTTTTGCACGCGATATTTGGCGCTACATTGTGACGTCATGTAAACAACTCTTTAAACATTAATGACTGAATTAAAGATATTGGTGTTCGGATTTATTTTCTTAGTTAGACCATTATCTATCATTCTTGGTAGTTTTCAAAACAAAATTCAACAAAAAGTTGTTTGATTTTGGAGTGGTTTTGACTTAGGACAATCTTAAGATACCTTTAAAACACTCCTAGACTTAGGACTGTTTTTGGTCATAAATTTAGGAGTTATAAGTTAGGACCTTTATTAAGACTTTCTTTGAAACGCAAAATTGTCACAATTTTTGACTTAGGACAAACTTAAGACTTAGGACTCTCCATGAAACGCAGCCCTGTACTTTAAATATTTGATGTAAATAAAATAAGAATCCCTGTAAAACAAATATAATTAATTGCATGTTCATCATATAAAATACATTTTTATATCAGATATATATTGAATCATTTTAGTACAAATAACTTGAATTTGATGCATTCAAAATCATTAAAATAAATCTACTTTAACAGCCAACGTTTTTTCTCTTTAAATGAAAGGTAAAGATTTTTCTCTTTAAATGAAAGGTATCAACATTTTCACGGAGAAATTTAGTAGCCATAGAAAGGTGAAATAAAAAAATGCTGTCTTAAAATTTTTCCGTTGACACTTCATAAACAGTACAATAAAAACAAATCTGACACAAATCTTAATCCAGTTTACTCAGGTCATTCCTCAATTTGTTAACACACATCGATTGCCTTATATGGCAGTAAGGAGTCTAGACACTACGTCACTTGATACCTGTATGTACATGTAAACTGTGTAATTGATGCAGAGTTGTGTAAAGGTTTTTTGGAGTGTACTGACTACTGGATAATAATTGGACCTAATTATTTGGCCCTTTGGGTGTTAAAACAGGTATTATTTATTATTTATCTGATTGAAACGGATTTTTACCTCTTTCAATCCCTCCTCAGTGTTTGTTGCTTACTGTGAGACAAAGCTAGTTTATATTATTTTTGCAACAACATAGATCACAGTTACATAAAAAATAATGGTTTCAAACATTGCTAATCTGTGATTTTTTGAGATTCTATTGCCTGATCTGCACTTATCAACTTCAAAGACCCAATGCCGACAACAAACTCAAGGCGGGGTTACATAGCCCAACAAAAATTGATACGTCACACATTCAGTATCGGACGCTGTCATTGGTTAAGCACCTGCAATACTGACACTGATTGACAGGTTTATCAAAGGAGAATTTGTTATTCCTTGACAGCTGAAGTGTGTCGGAGTAACTAACAATACAAATATCCGTTAGACCCCTGCTGTTTAATGGGGAAATATTACTTCAGGCATATATAGTTGTAAAAGTTGTTTAAGTCTATTGTTTAATTATGTTTATTGGTAAAAATGATGCTTTAACTTTTTTGTTGGTTGAATTTTTGAAAATTGGGGGATTTCGATCCCACGGTGGGAGATCGGGAGACATGGTCGAAAATCGGGGGTTTTTGTCCCCCGGCGGGGGATATGGCATGTATGCAATGAAAAGGATTAAAGGAAGACATACGATAAACAATGACTATGACTTCAAGCTACATCACTACCATATCTAAAGCAGCAGGGAGGACATGCCTATATCACCAGTATGATGATTGCCTTGCTATTGATTTATTACTAATGGGCGTATGGATCACAATAATCAGAAAAGGTTCACTTATTCTTACACCTCAAATCACATGTGATAAAATACAAGTTGGGATCAAAAACTATGATATAATTACAATAACCTGGAGAAAACATTTGTGTTTTGTTTGGGTTCTTTCCTGTAATACAATCTGCAGGGGTCATCAGGTTCACTGTATAAGCAAGTGTTTCAAATTCACGACCTGCAGGCCAATCTGAACATCCAACCTTGATCTCGAGCGTGGCACACCAGATGCTTCCTACAAAATACACACACATAATCTCTCTTAATGGCCCATTATGCCCCAACAATGCCCTTATTTTTATTTCTCAAAAACTTTAAATTTTTGGTGTCCTGTTACATTTTCCAAACAGTTACTTATTGGCAAATTACCTGAACCATTGTTTGCCTCTATTGCTTCTTATCAAATAGTACATTATCGCAACTTAATATTTTGTATGAAAGTCAAAATACCACTTTGTTTTCATTTTGCTACTTTTATGACAAATACATGTCATTCAATATTCAGCGCTTCAGCTACTGTAATAGATCATATTGTTTTAGTTATAACTATAGTCATTTTATAGGCATACAGAATCATTTGACTTTGTCAACTACATTGAACAAGCTTTTAACTAATTTTTCAGTCTGACAAATATTAACACAGTTATTTTAACATTTAGAAACATTTACAAACATGTTATTTAAATAATATTTTACATATAAAATAGGTAATACATTAAAATGAAACATATGAAACTTATCACTTTTTTATATAAATGTTTCAAGTTTTACCTATATCAATGTAGGAAATTACACATGGTTGTTCTAGCTGGAATACTGCCTCAATATGGCCCGACTTCTCCTGTGGATGACTCAACCATTTTCTAAATCCATCACCCTTTATAAGATTGGAAACTGGGTGCCTGTCATCCTGAAAATAATTTACATATCTGTCACTGACATACATCTGTATGTAGAACATGTCCTATTATCCAAACTAAATCTAAAATCTTTCAATTTTCTGTACATCTTTTATTATAATATCAGTGACTTTTAGCAGGGTTCAAATTTCAGTAATGCTAGTGAATTTTGATAATTGATAGTTATTTCAAATTCTTGCAAGTAAAATCTCAAAACCACATCATATATTAGGGGTGTAACAATACAGCAAAAACTGTATTGCAATATATTGCCATTTTGCTGAAGCGTATTGCAATATATTGCAATACGTATTGTCGTGTACATGTTTTGATGTAAAGATGGAGTAACATTTATATATTATTATTGTATGTAAATATTTTTAGTAGAAACTTAATAAAAATGTAAGGAATAAATAGAAAGTAGTGTCACACAATTTAATAAACAAAACTAGTCGCGTGTGACCTTTCACATATGGGCCGCTTATGTAAATTATGCGGCCGCTTATTGACTTTTAAGTGTACTAGTTGTCGGATACTTTTATCTTACGTTGGCGCCAACAAAATTTGCCAATTAAAGATTTAATGTGAAATTTGTACAAAATTAGAAGGCAATTAATTGAAAGTGATGATTTTTATAAAATACCGGTTTTCCAAAAATCGTACCGCGGTTCGAAATTTATTTTTTCATATTGCAATATATCGGTATACCGGTAAACCGTTACACCCTTATCATATATCCTATAAAATCGGATGAAAATGCAAACCGAAGTGTGACAGATGTAAACAATAATTCAGTCGGCCGTCATCGCCTAATTTTTAATAAATATTATTCTCCTCGAATCAAAATCCAGTGACGTCACTAAATGGAGTCGGCGACAAACTCAGATTGCGGGAAATAATCAGAAAATGTTGAATTATTCCTACACAGCTACGCGATTTTAAAAAGTTATCGGTGGTATTTGATGCATTTATGTATTGTTTATCGAAATGGCCAGATAGATTATTTTGATCCGTTGTTTTGTTGATTTGTTTAGCGTAAATTATGTTGGGGGTGGGGAAAAGGCGTTTCATTCCTTGTGTTTATTTATACTGCATAGGGGGTATATTTTGGATATTATCATTAATATTGATAGAATTTCAAGTTCCTGTGATTAAATTAACATTTTATTGGTGAAAGTGGTACCCACGTTTTTTATACTGAACCCACTTTTTACAAAACAGGTGATTCTTGTACCACTTTTAAAACAAGAGGGCCATGATGGCCCTGAGGTCGCTCACCTGTATATAGTCCCCCCCCCCCCCAATGTTGCAGGGTCAATTTAACCCAAGGGCTTTTATTTGCACAAACTTGGTAGACACCCATAAGAAAATGTTTCATGCTAAACATCTAAGCTCTAGCTCATTGGGCTTTTTAAAAGATTTTTTTAAGTTTTTACTATATACATATAGTTAAAAACAATGACACCCCTGGGGCCGGGCCAGTTTTGACCCTAGGGCTTTTATTTGAACAAACTTTGTAGACACTTACTAGAAGATGGTTCATGCTTAATATCTTAACTCTAGCTATTTGGGTTTTTTCAAAGAAGATTTTAAGTTTTTGCTATACACATATAAAGAAAATCAATGACCCCCGGGGCGGGGCCAATTTTGACCCCAGGGCTTTTATTTGAACAAACTTTGTAGACACTCACTAAAAGATGTTTCATGCTTAATATCTTAACTCTAACTATTTGGGTTTTTTCAAAGAAGATTTTTTAAGTTTTTGCTATACACATATAAGGAAAATCAATGACCCCCTGGGCGGTGCCAATTTTGACCCCAGGGCTTTTATTTGAACAAACTTGGTAGACACCTATTAGAACATATTTGATGCTAATATCTTAGCCATAGCTCTTTGAGTTCTTTAACTTTGAGTTCTTTAAAAGAAGATTTTTTAAGTTTTTACTATATGCATATAGGGAAAATCAATGACCCCCGGGGCGGGGCCAATTTTGACCCCAGGGCTTTTATTTGAACAAACTTGGTAGACACTTATTAGAACATGTTTCATGCTAAATATCTTAGCTCTAACTCTTTTGGTTCTTTTAAAGAAGTTTTTTAAAGTTTTTACTATAATTATGCATATAGGGAAAATCAATGACCCCCCGGGGTGGGGCCAATTTTGACCCCAGGGCTTTTATTTGAACAAACTTGGTAGACATCCATTAGAACATGTTTCATGCTAAATATCTTAGCTCTAGCTCTTTGGGTTCTTTAAAAGAAGATTTTTTAAGTTTTAACTATATGCATATAGGGAAAATCAATGACTCCCCGGGGCGGGGCCAATTTTGACCCCCAGGGCTTTTATTTGAACATACTTGGTAGACATCCATTAGAACATGTTTCATGCCAAATATCTTAGCTCTAGCTCTTTGGGTTCTTTAAAAGAAGATTTTTTAAGTTTTTACTATATGCATATTGGGAAAATCAATGACCCCCCAGGGCGGGGCCAATTTTGACCCTAGGGCTTTTATTTGAACAAACTTGGTAGACACTTACTAGAAGATGTTTCATGCCAAATATCTAAGCTCTAGCTCTTATGGTTTTTTAAAAGAAGATATTTAAAGTTTTTTCTTTCGGTTGCCATGGCAACCAGAGTTCTGCATGGAATTAAATTCTTTGAACAATTTTTAAAGGTGACCACCAAAGGAACATTCCTGTGAAGATTGGATGAAATTGGCCAAGTGGTTTATGAGGAGATGTCATTTAAAGTAAAAGTTTACGGACGGACGACAGACGCTGGACGAAAAGATTACAAAAGCTCACCCTGTCACTTTGTGACAGGTGAGCTAAAAATCAGTGGGCATGCAGCTGCTGTCAGCAGGTCTCTAGCGTACCTGTTAATATGACCGAAATGCTGAAAGGGAAAGTCCACCAATAATCGTGCCAGGAGCTTGACACGCTTGTATTCATTCATCGAACATGCTATGAGAATGAAGCATACCTTGATAAAACTGTATAATCTCGGTACCCTAATCTGATGATAAGCTATGGATAGGCATAGATTTATAAAAAAAACTTATTGACCTTTTCGAAAACCTAGCTAAACACCGTTTTCCGGTATGTTATGGATTTAGCTCTGGGGAATTACACCAATTGCAGTACATGTAACATAGCATTTCCTCGTCAAAATGCTTTTAGAAAATTAATTATAAAAAACATTAATAATTTCAATAATTTCAATATTCATATATAACTTACATTTTTAATAATCATTAAAAGAATTTCATTGTTGTATAAATATTTTGATAAAAATTACTTTTAGATTCTTAACTGATAAATTTAACAACTCTAATATAAACATGTCATAGTGGTCAATAAGGAAATATTATCACCTTTTGATTTTAATACTTTATGGCTTAATTCTCAATTTCCTAGTCTTTTATCAAACAAGCCATACTTGATTATCTTTTGACATTTATTGCTAATATTGCTTAAGGCTTAATTCCTATGACAACTCTTTCTTAATTTATATTGTTGCTTTTTATATTTTAAAACAGTCTTATTTTTATTTCCGAACTTAGAACATCTAAAAGTCTTATTTTTATTTCCGAACTTAGAACATCTAAAAGTATTTTTATTTCCGAACTTAGAACATCTAAAAGTCTTATTTTAATTTCGGAACTTAGAACATGTAAAAGTCTTATATAGAATTTCGGACATATAACATCAAGTCTTAACTTAGAAAATAAATAAGTAAAATTAACTTAAGCAAAATTCAGGTGCTAGCTGTGAAAATATATGTGTGGACTATATGATTATTTTGTATTTGAGAACTTTCAATGGGCTATAAAGAAATAAATGAAATAACATCATACTGGACTTTTGAGTTATAAAATAAGTCATCATAACAAATAGGATACTGGATAATAATAATACACCAGTATCCCACACACACATAACCAACCGAGGGTTTCCGTGTAGGGCGCTCACTATGCCAGCGAGTATTCCCCAAACGACCCCAAAGCTAAGGCCCTGCCGGTGACCCTTGGCTCCTCGTCAAAATGCTTTTAGAAAATTAATTATAAAAAACATAAATAATTTCAATAATTTCAATATTCATAAATAACTTACATTTTTAATAATCATTAAAAGAATTACATTGTTGTATAAATATTTTGATAAAAATTACTTTTAGATTCTTAACTGATAAATTTAACAACTCTAATATAAACATGTCATAGTGGTCAATAAGGAAATATTATCACCTTTTGATTTTAATACTTTATGGCTTAATTCTCAATTTCCTAGTCTTTTATCAAACAAGCCATACTTGATTATCTTTTGACATTTATTGCTAATATTGCTTAAAGGCCCAACTGGACTATAAAAGCCAGCAGATGGCGCTAGGGCAGGTTTCTTATTAATTTTATGCATGCTTCACTTCAGGGACCCTTTTTCAAAGATTTAAGATTAATTAACAAATGCATTAAAACAACACTTGGCATGTTTGTAGGCATAGATATTTTTGATAAAGATTGACCAAAATTATTCAAAATATAACTTTGTAAAGTGTATTTCTGGAAAAAAATACTGGCTGTCAAATTTGAAATTTGAATTTCCCTGGGAGGAGCCATGTGATCATTACAGGTCATGAACTTTCAGTAGTAAACAGAAGCACGTGGCAGTGTTTATTTCAGGGAGAGAGATTTGTAGCAGACGATGTATATTTTAGGGAGGGAGATTTTCAGCAGACGACATATTGGAATGCTGAATACATGATAAGAAAAAAAAACACTTGCTGTATCAAATCCAACAAATTTACAATAATCCATTAATATATGATTTTTTTTAAATTTCAAAGTACTGATTTAACTTGTATTTGAATGGTTTAAACTTCATGAAAACAGTAAAAGTAACTTCCAGGTATATTTCATTTACACTATATTTTTTTGTAAATATCTTGTAGTCAAAAACTACATTTCACAAATGTTAATGAAACTAAATGTTGCATATGCATAAAAATTTTATACATTAACAGCTTAAAAATATTTTAAATTCCTGTCAAGAACATTTTTAGCAGGTTGTTCCTATGTAAGGCACATCTTTTGGATATAATTGTCTGACTTGATGAAGGACACATACAGCATTCCAGTAAAAAAAAAAGAAAAACAACTGACTTCAAAGATAATAATAATGTCTTTAATTAATCTGTGAGTTATATAAAACATCCATTAAACCTCTCCTGTGTAAAATCAGCCCTTTTTGTTTACATTCTCTCTGCAGGTTAACACTAAGGGTGTAACGGTTTACCGGTATACCGATATATTGCAATATGAAAAAATGAATTTCGAACCGCGGTACGATTTTTGGAAAACCGGTATTTTATAAAAATCATAATTTTCAATTAATTGCCTTCTAATTTTGTACAAATTTCACATAAAATATTTAATTGGCAAATTTTGTTGGCGCCAACGTAAGATAAAAGTATCCGACAACTAGTACACTTAAAAGTCAATAAGCGGCCGCATAATTTACATAAGCGGCCCAGATGTGAAAGGTTACACGCGACTAGTTTTGTTTATCAAATTGTGTGACACTACTTTCTATTTATTCCTTACATTTTTTAAAGTTTCTACTAAAAATATATACATATAATAATAATATATAAATGTTACTCCATCTTTACATCAAAACATATACACGACAATACGTATTGCAATATATTGCAATACGCTTCAGCAAAATGGCAATATATTGCAATACGGTTTTTGCTGTATTGTTACACCCCTAGTTAACACTGCATGCTATTTATAGTTCAGGGTTTATAACAGACAGTTTTACATCACTGATTAGTCACACCCACAAATACTCGCTGCCGCGGCAGCGAATGTTGCCCCTTTAAGGCTTAATTCCTATGACAACTCTTTCTTAATTTATATTGTTGCTTTTTATATTTTAAAACAGTCTTATTTTTATTTCCGAACTTAGAACATCTAAAAGTCTTATTTTTATTTCCGAACTTAGAACATCTAAAAGTCTTATTTAGAATTTCGGACATATAACATCAAGTCTTAACTTAGAAAATAAATAAGTAAAATTAACTTAAGCAAAATTCAGGTGCTAGCTGTGAAAATATATGTGTGGACTATATGATTATTTTGTATTTGAGAACTTTCAATGGGCTATAAAGAAATAAATGAAATAACATCATACTGGACTTTTGAGTTATAAAATAAGTCATCATAACAAAGAGGATACTGGATAATAATAATACACCAGTATCCCACACACACCTAACCAACCGAGGGTTTCCGTGTAGGGCGCTCACTACGCCAGCGAGTATTCCCCAAACGACCCCAAAGCGAAGGCCCTGCCGGTGACCCTTGGCTACATACATAACACAGTTACATGATATTTCTATTTTTTGTATCATTATTTTACCGTTTAAGATGAAAACAATTGATGTACATGTATTTGAAAATTATCAATATTCCTTTAATATATATTGAACATTTTTTTAAAAATAAATTGTTTATAACGAAAATCAACAAAATTAAAACATACGTAGTGGAATCTTCCATAATGAATAAGGTTATTTTCTGCGTAAACTTGTGTATTTACTTTATTTTTTGTATGGCATTATTCATACAATGATATTTAATTATTTTCTTATAAAGAAATAAATGTTTTATTTCAATTTAATTTTAAAAAATATCGAAAACATCGAGTTCGCTATTAAACTCCATTAGGTGAATTCCCCAGAGCTATATACAGAAAGTACCGGAAAACGGCGTTTAGCTATGAAAAATTCAGCACTTTGCAGCCATATCGCCAAAATATTTGACCACATGATTACGAGATTGACGTCTACGGGTTAATTTGCACTGACGGTAAAGAAAACAGATCCCATATCCTTCCAACTTTTTTTTATTTCTACTTTTTTAAAGATATTAAAAAAGGTGATTTTGTGGCTTTTGTATTCAATAATTTTATTTAAATAGATTTCTAAAGGGAAGTGAAGGGAAGTAATATATAATTTTTGGCCGAGTTGATCTAAGAGGAGACGGTAAAGAGCCGAGATGACTCGGGCCGAGTTAGTTTTAGGGGCCGGTTTTAGGTGAGTTTTTTTCCGCTTACTGTTTGGATGCAGATTTATTCTCAACCAATGGTGACATTTTTAATCATACAGTAAAGTTTGTTTACCTGAGAAGAAAATGAAACAACATATTTTATAGCAACCGGCGGCATTACTTTAACAAACTTCAATAATAATCAACAAACGTAAACACAAATTTCCCGCGATATTTTTTATTTCCGGTTTTCAGATTAAGCAAAAGACATAAAAAGACAGAAAAGAACGCATAAAGACTGCAAAATGCAGAAAACTACCATGTTGTGTCTTTATGGACTAAATTGTTAACCAATAGAACAGTGTATTTTTTTAAGATGTTCATTTTTAATTCAACACCTTTTCTATTTTCCTTCCAATTGGCTTTAGCGCGGACTTGGAATTAAATCAAAATGTATAGGTAAATTTTAGTATAGTCAGTATACTGAATATATTAAACTGATGTAACATTTCTAAGAGCAATTTCAGCAAGAAAAAAGTCGATTGCATGTAAGTATTATACAAAAAGCTGGGAAGACATGATGGTTAAAAACTGAATATTTGCATTTAAAATAAATTGCAAAATTTTAAAACCTTATTAATGCACGGTTTGTACGTTCTACTTAGAAGAACTAGCTATGCTTTTAAATATATTTACTAATTAATTTTTACAAATATTAAACGCAGAACCCATCAGAAGTACTTGTAAGATTCATCTCAGACTAGTGATCGAGTAACGACAAAAACAATAAGATAGAAGCCCTAGGCTGCATGTTGGTCAGTTGTGAATACATGTATACATGTGTACTTAAACATATATTTACATAGCCAAGTAAGAGAGTATTGACTTTCTAGTTGTTTTTTATTCCATATAAAGTAGACCTTTCTTCTTTGCAGATCTCTTACTTAAAGAGTATGTATAAATCTATATGACAGTAACCGGCGGGCTGCGAAGAAGACAAAATAAGTAATACGTTAGAAAATGAAATAAAATATAAGGATATAAATTTAAGTTGTTTTGATATAAATGAAATATGTTTGTATAATTTTGTGATGTTATTTAGTATCGTAAGCCTACACGACTAAGTGATGCCCCATCCGCTGCGCAAACTTGTACATAAAATGTGTCCTGCAGCCACCTACAATCCATAGGTTACTTCTTCTTTAGTGCACATTAATTCTTTACCCAATATCAGGAAATATACTTGAGAAGAGGATAAGGGAAGTTCTATGTTATATTATTTTTGTTACATTGAAGTAACTGTTTGCTTATGATGCGATGTCACAGGGTAAGAGGTGGGAAAATGTGAAATTTGACCAAATCTTCAACTTGAACCCTTAAAATACCGTAACACGGCAATAAATACTAAAAATCTGGAACAAATTGATCCCTCGGAAGCATTAATCACAACAAAAGTACATGAAAATAGCTACCCGACCGCTTACACACCTTTTCTCCGAATTAGCAAACTATTTAGTACAGTAATATATGCACTGGAAAGAAGGCTCTTAATAAATATATAGTTAAAACATGTGACATATTGTTTTAATTCATTGATTTTTCCTCTTGGAAAATTTCCCAGAATATTGTTGTATTTTTATGCATGTTTAGGTTAAACAATGTGTATTTCAGATAATCGTTACAAACATATTTGATAAAAAATAATTTAAAAGACTTGATGCAGTGCTAGAAAAAAAACTTTTCTTAAGCCTACTAAAGATAATACTAGATATGTTTTGCTCTTCACACTGTATACACTTTCACTGTAAAGATTCTTTTTTCAGCAGACACCATGGAAAGACCATTTTAATAGTTTCACGTCCTTTATATTCTGGTCAAACAACCGACATCTTTATACAATCAACCTACATCCTTATACAAGCAATCTACATATTTATACAAGCAATCTTCATTTTTATACATCAGCCTACATCTTCATATACATCTATTTTTATACAAGCAACCTATATTTTTATACAAGCTACCTCAATCTTTATTCAAACAATCTAATTTTTTAAAACATCAACCTACATCTTTATGCAAGCAACCTACGTCTTTTTACAAGCAACGTAAATTTTTATGCAAGCAACCTATATATTGAAATAATCCACGGAAGGGCACCTGAGGTCTTCCTCCACCAGTAAAGCTGGAACGTCGCGATATGACCTATACTGTGTCGATGTGACGTAAAACCCAAAACAAACAAACAAATTTATACAAGTAACGTATATCTTTATGTAAGCAATCTACATCTTTATATATACAAAATATTTGATCAGGCTTGAAATGTGTACAATGCTTTAATCGCTAGAGATGAAATACAATTGCATGACAGTCCAGAATAAGTTGTGTTTACCTACAAAAAACGGACATTTCCTAATTAAATAGTTTTTACAAATGAAAACCGATCTTCTACAAAACATCACTCAGACAGTAACACACGTACTGCTAAAAAGTTTCAACGTGATAAGTGAAGTCTTCTATAATCAAAATAAATACATGTACTCGTATTGCTGTAGAAAAGAAGGAATTCTTAACAACAAAAATGTCTTTCTGTTCAATAACCTGTTTTGAATACTGTGTTAATAGTTAATATATGTTATAATTTGTTTATTCTACAATTTTATAAGCAACTTTGTAAAGTCTTTGTGGCTCTGGCAGAGATGTAGCAACGCACGCTACTGCCCTCGGCTCAAATACGAGTTTGTAGTCATATACTCCATTAGTGCAGCCTGTTCTGCGGAAAACTACTATGTAATCTATGATACTTTGACAAACCAAACCGCTTTTCTTTTTAGAATAAAGAGGTGTATGGCATATACACTCAGCATCTAGAATAGTTCTAGGTTTCCTGTTGTTATCTATGTTTTCAACATATCTCCACGGACACTGACTCATAGAATTTATTGTATTTTCATTTTTCCGTCCGTTTTTATTTTTAGACTTCTTGCACTTTTTCCCGCTTGTTTGTCCAGAATGATATTTGTATTTTATATTTATATAATCAGATGGGACAATGTCTATAGATTTCGTGCCTTTAAACCATCCTGGAATTATACTATATGACTGGGCCTCTGTAAGGTTCATTGTGAGCTCGAAGCTTATGTTCGGTAGCGTTTCCGGTTCCACGCATTTCTGTGGAGATTTTGAATTTACCAAAGGCTGTAGCTGAAAGATAATTCAGAAATTTATGAATGTATACAATATTGTTGTTTACAAAGTTTATTCTATTCATTTTATTTTTTGTTAATACAGGCACATATATATTTCTACCATCAAAGAAATTTGAATGAAACTTTTCAGGATTGATCAGTAGCTCAAGTCCTTGCGCATATAAATTGGTTTTCCGGTGGAACTATTTTTGGCTGAGTTGAACTACTTGTGCAATTTCATCCAAACTTTACAGGAATGATCCGTACCCCTATCGGCATTATTTTCCAGTTCAATGATTTTTGTCCCTTAAATTATTCTCTCTTTTTTAAAATTTTATCCGGACTATTATTTGGTTGAAACTTTATAGGACTGAACGATACCTCAACTACTTGCGCATATTTAACGTATTTTCCGATTGAATGATCTTTGCTGAGTTATGGCCATTGTATTAAAAGCGTTTTGGCCTTGTAACGCACCTTGGGGTCAAACCTGTATGATTTCATTGATTCAGAATATAAACTGCCTCGTGCTGTAAATTAAGGTTTACATTAAATTTTACTCCTATCAGCTAATTTTCTAGTCTCAGAATGGCGTCAAAAGTAGCCATAAATTTAAAATAAGTCGTATTTAAGTATACTTAAGCAGTTACTTCAATAAAATAAAATGATTGGTCTGAAAAACGTAAACATCATAAGGATTTTACGAGATTATCTGTTAGAGTGATCATGGTCATGATTATGAAGAAGATATAAATTGTTTTACAAACTTTTTTCTAAAAATATTTAGGAATATCAAAATTGTGAAATTAAGTCCAGCTGTGTCCGTCACGCAATATTATGGATGATAAATTTCATTTCTAACTTACCTTTTAAAAGTTATTTAAAAGAAAATGAAATGCACTGAACTGATTTTAACTGCATTTTATTACATCTCCAATTTTTTTAAAGTGGGGTTCAATCTGGCACCAAAGGTGACTGAACAGGATATTTTTTTTAAAACACCATTTATTTCTATGAATACATTCACAATCTAATCATTGAAGTAGTTTGTGATATAGTCACACTTTTAAAAATATTTCAAGCGGTTAAATTTATTAAACATTTAAGCATGAAACATATTTTTTATTACGACTGCTGCATCACAACTTAAATGGCACTTAGTAACACAGTGGTTAGTATTGGTATCGACCGTCATTCTGAATTCTACCTCAAATATTTTAATGTCACGGAATGAAAATAAGTCAGTACTCAGTATCTTACTTTGGAACCCAAAGTGCGGTGATATGTAGCATATTAACGCACTTTGGGGTCAAATTCTCCTTTTTGACCACAAAGTGCGTTTGACCCCAAAGTGCGCTGTGAAGTTTACCGCACTTTGGGGGAGGACCCCAAAGAGCGTTTGACCACAAAGTGCGGCGTTATATGGCCTCCTAATGTTTTTGTGTCTCCTAGTACACAATTAGGTGCCAGATGTAATCACTGATCGCTCTTGTTTCCTCTATAAAGTTTTTTTTCTATCATAGTACAAGATATATTCCATATATCCCTTCATTTTAAGCATTTTTTTGTTTCAGAAATTTCTTTTGTTTGAAACATTTTCCATCTTCATAGATAACTCCGTTTAAGATTATCATATCGCCTATCAATTCTATATGTATTAATCTAATGTAATGTAAAAACATTCACATTCAGTAATTTTAGTAAATACAATGTAATGAATATTCATATTTGGTAAATCTATAAATAATAAATATTCATATACAGTTAATTCTGTAAATGATGAATATTAATTTAATATTCAGTAAATTTAGTTAAAAATGAATATTCATTTTCCGTATAGTCAGTAAAATATGAATATCCATATCCAATAAATCAGAAAGTTTTATACTCACCAACATAAAAGACAACAGCTTAATGAAGTGGCCGAAATATCTATTCATTTTCTCGTGAAGGTAAAGACGGTGTCAAATAGGAAAAGTGTAACAAATGTTTTGATTTTATACAAAGAATCTTATTTTCTTGATACCTGTTTGAATTTTATATATTGTGTCGCAAGTTTTATTTTTTAATATTTATATATACATAGAGGGAAGGAAATGGCATATGTTTTCATTGAAAAATAAAATGTATTGGTGTTTGTAAAACAATGTTTGAATATATTTCCGTTTGATATTTTTGTTAGATAGTTGCTATCAGTTAGGATTAAGCAAATTATAGAAGCTATTAATTAAATGAAACAATCGTACAGATCATATTAATCAAAGGAAATATTAAACTATTAGGTCATTTATCATATTTCCTTCTTAAACACGTAAACTGGAATACAATCATTCCCAGATCTAACTGATATATGTATGACAAATTAAAACACACAGCTTACATTAATTTAATTAGTTGGAAATAGAATCCGGGCATTGTTATTTGTCGAACACTTATATTATTATAATCATTGTGTGATTTAAAGAAAAAATCGCAGTGAATTTTTTTTATTTGATTGACACGCTCGAAGATAAACTGGTAGGGTTGGTATCGGTGTTATATCTCGCAATTAAACTACTAGCTATTATACCAGGGCATCAACTCCATATGGATCTAACATAATTAGTGTTCAATAAGTGTTATACTGAATTTATTGAGCGAGTTGAATAAAATTATATTATGCGAGCATAATATTGTTTCATTTAACGAGTTCAATAAATTCATTAAAAAACTTACACGAATTTCATATTCTATTTATCACCTACCAAAAATAAAGACCGTTTAAAATGAAAAAAAAAACAAACAAAAAAAAACACATCATTTTTCATTGACGCGTCCGCTATAACGCTGACATTCAGCGCGTCATTGTTCTATGTTTGTCATAGTCATGTAATAGCTTTTTAGGGAAGTCGCAAAAGCGGCACGGGTATGTGATAAAGCAAGGTCTGCTTCAGTTAATAAGGTATGCGCGTTTGCTAGTGGTTTACATGAGAGTAAATATTCAATTGTCGAGCGGCGACATATTAAGAAACTGATTGGAAGCTTTCCAATTTAGAGTGTTTTTTGTTGTTGTTAAAATATCAACTATATTAGAATAAAAATGCTATTCGACCTTGAATATTTCCTTGAAAGTGACCATTTTAACCTTTTACCACATGCGCATATCGTGAAAAATGGCGTTTTCATCGAAAAGCCTCCTGTTACAAGTTCAAACTGCTATGAAACTTTTAAAAAATGCTTCAATACTGATGAAACTTGGCACAAATGTTGACTGGAACATAACCTTTGTAACAGCATGCTTAATCTTAAATTTCTTGTTACTATGGCAACGGGGGACGTCTCAAGTTTGCCAAAAGTAACTATTTTGCATTGTTTTTTCCCCATCAAAACTGATTTCAAAGTGCTGCAACTTCTCAAAATGGATTGAGATGGAGTATAAGGCTTTTCAGCGTTGGTTACACGTTACCGAGGCAATTTTCAGCCTGTCACATATCCAAAATTTTCTTGGCGATTAAGGCTACCGCCCCCTTGAAACCCCTTCTGGCAACCCCTTGATGCACCTTTTTGATAGGGGGAGGCGCCAAAAAAGTGATCACTTTTTTAACAACATTTCTCAAACGAAAAACGGTGTTTTGGGCCTAATCGAGGCCTCAAAAAGGGGGATGAAAAGCCTTCAAAGCACGCCTATATGAGGTAAAAGGTTAAGTTTTGTCATTTGATGAGGCCATCTTTGAGAAATTGATTATGTCATGGCCTCATAGCTTCAGATATGTTGAAGACAGACCATAATGATAAGTACAAGACAGTCTCTTCCCGTTACTACCAATTACTCAAACCAGAAACTAAAGACAACAACATATTTATGCAATATATCAATTACTTAAAAGCGCATTATGCGTCCGAAATGTTTTTCATCTTTATTTCTTAAACGCGTACTATTATAGTTAGAACGTATATAATGGTCAACTACCTGAATCATCTGTTCTTCTGATGCTTTTTGGTAATTGGTACAGCAATAGTAATTTAGTATTTTGTATGGACGTCTTATGGACGTCGAAATACCACTTTGTTTACATTTTGCTACTTTTACGTCAAATTATTTCACATATTACGCTTTTTTTTCTAACATGTCCTAAAACCATTATCTAAATTCATGTTTGCCCTTTTCAAAAAGTAAAATTTTATTCGTTTCTAAAGCATACTCTGCCTTTAAACCAAGTTATACATGTTATAACTGACCATTGGTTAAGCATTACATGCATTTGTCCAAATTAGGAACAACGGCCCAAAACTTTTCCGAAAAAATCCTGTAATCCGCAGCGAAGGTAAGGATTATGTTCTTATTTCAAGTAAGCTAAAATTATGCTTACTCTGTTCATGATTTTCTTCCATGTTCATGACATATACCGTAGCGGTATTTAGATTGCTTATCATATTTCTACTATTTACTTATATTCCCAAAAAATGTTAACGAATTAGTATTTTAGTATTTTATTTAATAAAAAAATCATCATCATCATTAACAACAACAACAACAGCAACAACAACAACAACAACAACAAAAACAACAACAACACCAATTCACTAAATTTCATAATAAAACATAATCAGTTTTCTCAATTACATTAACGGTGTTTGAAACAATAGTTTTGCTATCACATATTTGTATAACTCTTTTACTACAATAATCCTATTCCTATATTTATGTTCAGGAACTTGTTCTTACAGGTCAGCTTCCTCACTAGGTGTAAATCGCGAGTTATATTCTCGGGGTCGTTTTAAAAAGACCTATAAACATTTAATCGCATCCACATATTGCCACATATAAATTGGTAACGAATCTTGATACATTTATTTAATCGATTAAAAGAAATCTTGGAAACAATTTAACCCTAAAATTTTATATTATTGTTTTTTACACCAAGATACAGGGGAAAGAAAACTTAACAAGTATCTGATAAAATATAATTTAAATGATATTTGCTACTTCAAAAATATTCATACTTTATTTTTGTCTCATTCGTATACATACATTTGTATACATATTTACACATATTCACATAAAATCTGCATACGACCATTCTATTTAAGAATTTTAAGAGACATTATATCAATGATAAACATATTCAAGACCTATACAGTTAGTCTAAGACTAAAATCAAATAGTAAAATTACAATGTATTTAAACAAAATATTAAAAGTAAGGTAACCATCGCTAATCGAAAAATAAAAACTGCTAAGAAATTGAGAATTGTAAATCGGAGCCCTATCGCTCATATAAAAACGTTTTAAAAGATCGATTATCATCCAAGATAAGATCTTGCATGACCTGATTAGCAAGGATTACCTTAACCTAGGTAAAATACATTATCATGTTTTAAGCAAATATAATGGCATTATTTACAAGAGAATAAAAGACGACTTTGTAGAATGTTAAAACAGGTTTTGGCACAATAACGTATCATTTCAGTTTTAGTGAACAGAAATATTAATTGTTCATTTTTAGACATTTGTAAAAATGCTCTATCTACTGTTTTAGCCTTATCAAATAATGATTGTCGCAAGTCATCGAACACAAAGCAATCAAGAATGACATGGCTTTCGTCTTCAATACTGTCACAGAACTGGCATTTTTCGTTCAATACATCTAAGCCTTTGAAACGCCCAAGTTTCTATACGTAAAGGCGCGACATCACATCCAAAATGGCTAAATGCAGTGCTATCACATGGAGGCATCATGTTCTATTTTAAACTGTCGATATGTACGCAACTTATTGCTTCCGCGACCAGAAGGACCTATGATACTATTCAAAGATGCGAGTCAATTTAAAACAAATTTTCTCTTGCAATTTAGTTGTAACAATATTCAATGAAGTATACTTTGGAATGTAAATTCTTATATCACTCACTATATTGGTATGCATTACAATTTTTAACATATCATTAGAAAAACCAGTTCTTACATGACCTTTTTGCTGAAGATACAGTACAAGATGCAATTCGTTTGTTTACTCTAAAATCAAGCATATAAGATAAATGAATAGCAATGGATTCCACTGTCTGATTTCAAATGTTGTCAATGAGTTGCCATGCTGATAGACAGTGAGACGTAAAAAACAAACGTGCTTCAAAGGCCGACCTACACAAGACAGAAGTATAAAGTCCAAGTAGTTGGTTAAAAATATCGCACTACACACAGACGAAATAAAGATGAAATAGAAAATACCAGGTCTGAAATAACGTCATATCAGTTATATTGTATAACCAATCTATATTTTCCTCTCTTTTTTATTTATGTAACTGAAGCCTTGCAAAGACTTCTAAGTATGTGTTTTGATTTTCCTTGTTCTACATAGCTTTGTTATTATCAGTACCTTCACCGGAAACCGTAAAAAGAAACTTAGTTATTCAACGGAGAGCGTAGTCCTATACAATAATTCAACATTCTTTGATTTCTACTAAATATTTAAAGAATTTATTTATGCTTGCAATTCATTTTAATTGATAAACCGCAAATGTCATTGCTCTTTCTCTAATTTACAAAAGTCTTATTTTATCATAAGCACAGATCTGCTCGTAAAATGTGATTCACAATTTGAAATTGTGAAATCCCAATCCTTATGTCATTTAAAAGATTCCGTTGCTAGGATATGACATATTTATGTCATCGCACATACAATTGCTCCATTATTTTCTTTTGTTGATTTAAGTTTGTTATGCTTAAAAAATGGTATCCATCATAAAATTCATAACGATTATTATAATGTCGGGTGTAAAGCCACTAGAAATTTTTATCACGATCAATTGGAGGAGCTTTCTCATATATCAATGCTTTCAATGGCAATATGTTACATAAACGTACATGACATTAATGCAAAGTGATGATGTTGGCAAATTTCTCAAATAATGAGGGCACCATTGTAGGAAACTGAACACAATATAAGACAACGACAAAGTCAGACTATGATGAAAGCTGCGTACGACAGGTAAAACATCCCATTTACCCAGCAAGATATTAATTAAAGAGATATTTTGTAAACTGGGCAAGTGCG